GACTGGCCATATGCAAGAATCGAAACATTGTAACCCTGGATGAAGGAGTTGACGCTATCCTGCAGGTACTCCCAGATGCCTTCCTGATCAACTGTCTCCGCAAACACTCTATCGAATACAAACAGCTTGCGACCTTGCGGAGCATCGACGGCAACGCTAGTTGGCGACGTGACATGAACTGTTGACCGTTGAAAGCGCTGAGGAATTAATTCGTACCCAGGATCGGTCGACCTCAATGGCGGGCGAACGCGAACAGCTGTTGTGTATCCTCTCGTAAGTAGACAATATTTCGAGAAACGATTTAACTTTATACACATATATACATATATGCATATATATATTAAGAAAATAAAGAAAATAAGTAAATAAAACAAAGATACGTACCGACTTTCACGGCAGTCTTTGTATCCTCATCTGACGCTCTGCTACCGCCTTGTTTGCTGCTCATACTCATGCGACTGTTGCTTCGTGGAGGTCGAATCATTGCGCTCATGGGACGCGGCTGAACGGTGGGAATAGGAGAGGCAGGAGGAGAATTGGCCATGGTGGAGAAACCGCTATATCGACGTCGGAATAGTTATGGGGCCGGTCTTTCTCTGTCTCCTCTCTCTGACTTTCTCTCTCGCGCTCTCTCCTTCGACGGCAAGGAAGAAAAAGAAAGGAAAATAACGGAGAAGGGAAAAGAAAAACAAGGCCAACAAGCCACCCCCCAAGTTCTTGGTCCACCAAAATTAACTACCAGAGTCGTCAGGCCAGTAAGAAGAATGCGATCATGGGAGCCAATTCGAAGGGGGCGTGCCAGAGGAGGTATTATTGATTTATTTGTTTTCTTAGCCGTAAGTTTGAAATCTAAATGGGGGGATTTTCAATTCGAGGGTTCGTTATTCGATATCGGTGTATCTTTGCGTTCTTGTGGTGAGTCTGTCCCTGACAGAGCGAGATACCGGGGGTGGGATTGAATTGATTAAAGGAATTAAATGGATGGAGATGATATTACAAAAAAATATAAAATAAAAAGGGAGGATGGAGTGAAGACAGGATGACGGGGCGACTGGTAAGCCCCTATTATTCTCACGCAAAGAAAAGGGTTCGACTAGCGCAGTATTTTTTTTCCCCCTTTGGCGGGAACGTGGTCGGATTTGACGCCAAAGCCAGGGTTGTCAATGGCGGCGGCATATGAGAGGCCCTAGACACAGGCTCCGGGGGGTGGGTGGGGTGACGCGCGCGCACAGAGGGGCGCGGCGGAGAGAAGGACGGGAGGAGGATGGAGAGGAGAGGAGAGGAATATGGAGAGTTGTGAGGATTGTAAGGATGTGAGGATTGTAAGGATGTGAAAATATGAAGACAAATAATAAGAACAAGCCACTGTGGTTGGTAGTGGTGGGTGGTAGTCGAGCAGAAAGCGCACAGCGATCGATTTGCCCGGTGAGGATGATGTTGGATGTGGTGGATGTGGATGTGGATGTGGATGTGGATGTTGGATGTTGTTTTTGGTGTTTACAGCCACGTATTATACAAGTGCTGTACGGATTTACAAGGGGCTCGGCCCCAGTCTCCACCGTAAAATACACCGTTGCTGTAAGGTTTACCGCTTACCGCTTATCTCTCTAGCGGGCCGTTGCTGACCACGCCGCCTGCCTCTCTGTACCTGGCATGTATCTGACCCACACAAACACAGCCAGAGGTGACCTGTGCGGTACCTGTTCCATCCCCCCGGACATCAGGTACAAGAGTTAGACATCTGTCATCTGTACAGGAACAAAAGTCAAAATATGTATTCAGTATGTCAAACAAAGTAAAAAATACCAGATCCGTTTATGTCTTATCAACGCAGGAATACGCAGCAAGATGCAATCACTGTTCACCGACTTATGTACAGAACATCATTTAATATTGTCCAAGGCTATGTAAGGTATGAAACGCATGGTGGTGAGTTCATTAACCGCGCACTTCCATGAGCAATTTTCATGCGAGTCTCTATCACAATTATTATTGGAAAAAAAAGAAGTTCGCATCTAGTTCTGAAACGCTTGGCGGAAAGGGGCTTCGCCAGATCAACCCCCCTGGCAAGCACTGTTGTCTGTCGAATAAAATAATAGGATTGTGGCAAATTTGATGTCGAGATAGCACCATATCATGGTGGTTGGCTGTCATGCCACTCAAGACCAAATAGGAAAATAGCTTTCCCCAGAGTCTCGCGATGTCACCAAGAGAGGATGGTTTTATGCTCTTTTATTACTCTTTTAACGGTCAGCCTTGTGCTCTGTGTTGCCTCACGCTCGTCTGCCCTACAACAAACAAGCTTCTTATCATGACCACCTCAGATATACGCTTATATCTCACTATATATATGCCATGTTTTTCATTCACAGTTCAGCTTCTGTCCGGATATCAAGATGATATCGAAACTAGCCCCGCCGCCAATATACAGACTACGGAGTACAGATTGCATAGATTGACATCCCACAGGATGATATCATAACCATGTCCTACATCATAAGCATCCGCTTCATTCTGTGCTAAGGCGCCAGAGTCAAGGCAACCCAACTCTTAACTACCGTAGGCAGGTGCAGATCGACTACAGCGATTCTATATCACCAACTACCAGATGCGGACATGAAACCATTGGAGGGAGCTAACGTGTATCCCTGTGGTCGCGCATCTTCTTCCGGGATTGATCGGGCGACGGGGGGCGGGGGAGGAGGGGAATCAGAGGATGGGTGGAGGCGCCAACTTCCTAAGGTAATGAATTCCACACAAGAAAAAGAAAAAAAAAAGAAAAAGAAAAAGAAAAATGCTATATCAACATATTTACTCCGACCGCTTCTCCCTCGATGATCAATACCGAGTTACCTACCAGCCCCCCGGCAACAATGCCAATGCATGAACTAAAATAATATCTCCGAAAGTGCATTCAATCCTGGACAAGGTTTGAAAAACCAACCCCCTTTTCTCCTGCAACTGTGATTTTGCATTCATTAGCCTATGGCCTATGAATACCCAGGTATGTAGGTAGGTAACCAAGGGGGTTGCATACATTGTGAAGAGCTTTCTCTTACAAAAAAAAAAAAACCAGAACTTGAATAAATTGCATTTTGGTAGTGCAGGATGATAAATACTACCATTTACCTCCCCCCCTCTCTCATCAAGCAGGACTGCAGGAAAATAGTATCAGATATCCGCTCCTTGCCCCATTGATCCCAGCCTCCCCCAAGTTTCCATCTTGTTCTAGCTCCCCGTTCTCCCTCTCCGCTCCCTCTCCACCACCCCACTCCGCCCAACAGTAGTAGTATTATATCATCATTATTATTATTTGCAAAACCTGAGCACCGCCAAACGCAGGAACCGAGGCAAGCTCATCCTTCCCCCCACATCACTAAATATACCGGCGTGTTCTTGTCATCATTATTCTAACTTCTCAGCAGGGGACGATATGTACTCAGTACCAGGCTGAGGTATATAGGAGTTTATGGATCTGCCAAAAAGCCTGCCCGGCCCAAGGTATATACATACATGTATGTACATGTAGTATTGACAAGCATAATCCGTACGCAGTACTTGTCCTGTCACTCGCGACCAGCAGGCTTGCATCAACTTATCGGCAGAAAAGCCACTAACTAGGGTACCTGATGCAGCTGAGGCTAGCCCGGGGTCAAATCGGTCTTGAAGTCCATTTACCCCATGGATGTACTCCGTACTCTGTACAGATACATGTACATGTACTATCAGCGTAGTAACTTTTTCCTTTTAGCCTAGCCGGGCCCTCAGCAATCACTGACAGAAGAAGAGATGGAGAAATTGATTCTTCTAGTGCCTCTTTTTCTTTCTTCTCTTCTCTTTTCTTTTTTTCTTTCCTGATGCTTGGTGAAAGCCGAAAAGAGAGAGAGAGAATGTGTGTGTGTGTGTAGACCCTTCTGAGGATTGAGGATAAGAGATTTTGAGAGGAGTTAGCTTGTTAATCATAATGTTATAGTTATACAATAACTACCTCTAATACTCAAGGGAAGTTAAGGATTTTGCAAGAATATCCCATTGACACTAGGCCGGGAGTAGAGTAGTGCAAGAGGCAGGCCGCTTTAATCACCCATGCTGAGTGAGGCACGGGCACAAGGACAGGTGAGGTAGTTGCACTCATTCCAGGCCTGCAAGTAGAACCAATCACTTCCAAGGTAGGGTAGATGTTTTCCATCAAAGAAAAACTGGTCGTTTTATGGGGATGACCCTAGCTAGGATTTCGGCATGTTAATTCAAAAAGGGGTTGATGTTGTCCGTACAGAAAAGGCTATCAATTGTGCAAGGCAAAGAGCCCACATTTCTCTACAGCGTAGTCAATTTTCAGGTTAACATGTCCAGAATAAACCATGAATACATGCTTTTATACGGGATACAAATTCAACACAAGCAAGCTTCTAACAATGCCAGATAGAGCATTGATTGGCACAGTATTGTCTCGTCAATCTGTCAATCTGTCAATCTGATTCATACAGTTCTTGACAAATGAATGAGGCTCATTATCCCTACAATACCATACCGGAGCTAGTCCAAAGTAAGACTAGCCTAGCCTTGTGGTTGGTAGTTAATTTTCTGCCACCCCAATTATTAACTGCTTATTTATTGGCTGGATGCCTCTATCAGCTTTCCTATTGGCCATATCAAGGCGGTAAGGCACCACGCTAACTTGATAGCATGTTATGTTGTACATTGTACGCTGCGTAGCCAGTTCACGCTTATTTACCTTACACGGGCGCCCTCATAACCTCTTAGGCAACTGCACTTGGGCCAAAAGAGCTCAATCACCACCAGCGCCATGGTGGTAAAGAGGGAGGGGACGTTCCAATCCCTCCAACACCTTATAATATACACAACATAAATCCTCCCTGCACGCGTCTTCAAGGAAGCAGACAAGCGCGCTCCTCCTCTGTCAACAACCTCATCAGCATCTTCTTCACGTCTTCGTTACTTTGTCCATTGCACTGGATATTTTTATCCCACCGTGTATAATGGCCGATGACGAGATTCAGAGGCTGCGCCAGCTCGTGGAGGACGTGGAGCAGGCTCGACAGGACGAGAAAAGACGTCGACAGGACGCGGAGCAGGCTCTAGAGGACGAGAAAAGACGTCGACAGGTGTTAGCAGAACAGATACGACCCTTAACACTTTTTGAATATCTTGATGCCTGCCACACTTTTCTTTTTAGGGGTCTTGTCCCTGGGAACACCAAGCATTAAACCAAAGGAAGTGCTGACAATGCTGATGGCAAACTCTGTCCTCATCGCCTCCGGGAATGGCTTCTGTTCGCCAATGCACAGACGGAAATATGGGATCAATTACTGAATCAAGAGAATGAAGAGTTTATCATGCAGCCCAAATTTGACTTCTTGAATGTGATAATGGCTCAGGGAAAGAAGACATGGAAAATCATTCACTCAGAACTCGATCTTCACTATTTCCAACAGGATGTCATCACAGAGCCTGTAGAGGCAATTATAGCGGCTTTTTTTGAGAATGAGTGACTCCGACATGTATTTGGACTTCAGGGGCAGATTGTCTTTGAAAACCACACAAATACACTTAGTGACAGTGAGGAGGATAAGAAAGTTGTGGCACGTCCATCAAAGCTTCAGGAAGGAACTGAAGGGGCTGCAACACCTATCACCTCTCCAGCTTCTGCCTGACCTCTGGCAGATGAGTTTTGCATTTACAATAAAGGGGAAAAGGTTGAAATCCCTGCCTTGATTGGTGAACTAAAGCCACCACACAAGCTTCCACTGACGGTTATTCAAAACGGGCTTCAAGACATGGAGCTTGATGAGGTAGTTGAGCTTCATCGTGATGACACAGAAAAAATAAAGGATCAGCGTTCGGTGGCTGCAGTTATCACACAGGCCTTTTCTTACATGGTTAAGGCTGGTGTTGAATACGGGTATGTGAGCACTGGTGAAGCATTTATTTTCCTTCACTTCAAAGCCGATGAACCAGGGACTGTTTATTACTATCTTTCAGTTCCTGAGATGGATGTGGGCAAGGAAACTGGATTTACAGGGGAGTTTGAAGGTGATGACAACAAACTACATATGACAGCAGTTGGGCAGGTTCTTGCTTTTACACTCCGAGCAATACAGACTACCCCACATGACCAAAAATGGAAAGAATGGGCCTCAAACCAGTTGAATGTGTGGGTGGTTACGGAAGAAGATTTATATCCGTCAACCCAGGAGGAAGATGAGAGGTCACTCACATCTTACACGCTACGGAAAAGTGCCCAGATCTTTGTCAGGAATAGCCCTGTCCGCACCCGATCACTGGCCGCACGGTCGACCTGCAGACCACCATCTTCATTGCAGAACAGTAGTGGGGATGATGACAACGATCATGAATCTGACCCTGATTCGCTTAGTCAAAGACCTCACCAGCCTGCCGATTTCATGGTTGTTGTACCTCCCCCACCTACCTGGGCATCATCCCACAAGGGCCCCGTCTGTAAGGATGGAACTCGGCAATATTGCACACAGAAGTGCCTGCTTGGTCTCTTGAATGGTGGGCCGCTGGATAGAGCCTGTCCAAATGTCAAAGAACATGGGGCAAATGTTCATAAGATTGACCACCCCACTTTCCTCTCTCTCCTCATGGCACAGATACTACAAGAAATAGTAGATCCGTGGACCGATCCTCTAGGTTGTGAATCACTGCATAGACATGGTTCTCGCGGTGCACTGTTTGAAGTTATCCTTTTTCAATATGGCTACACCCTTATAGGAAAAGGCTTCCCACCGGAGTTTGGCCACTACCTCAGGCATGAAAAAGCACTCTACGACCAGTTGAAGCCAATACAGGGCTTGCATGTCCCTGTATGTCTTGGCACAATTGATGTGTCTAAGCGGCCCATGTTCTACGACGGAATTGCAGACATTCCACACTTCTTACTTCTCGCCCACGCAGGCACTAATGTCTCAGAATGTGATGTTTCAGAAGATCAAATGGTGTCTGCAGCATCAAAGTCGCTGCAGGCCATTCATGCGCTGGGTGTACTCCACCATGATGCAGAGACCTGAAATTTGTTCTGGAGTGAGGAAGGTGAGAATGTGCTAGTTATTGATTTTGAAAGAGCAGAGATTCTTCGTCCTAAATGAGTGCTGCTAGGAAACACGCCACCAAATCAGAAGAGAAAGAGGGGAGGTGAAAGTATGGTCAAAGAAACAAAGGTAGATGTGAGACGGAAGTGGATTGACACCAAGTTTGAGAGAGAGCTGAAGGGGATGGTTGAGTACTTGAATACATATCTCAAGTCTTGATATTATAGGCGTAGACCAAGAGGTCACAGACTTACATGTAAGCTGCTGTCAGAGCAACCTTTTGTCGTCTAACAGATAAAGTGTAGCTGGAGTGGAAGAGGTTCATGTTGTCTGTCTCTTATACCTACTGTTTTATAGCTTGTTTACAGATTGATACTCTTTGCGTTGATGTATTTTCAATTCTATTGTTTTGCCTTCCCTTAACTAGCCTCTACATATATATAATGGCTAAGCGGATCGAATCCTTTTCTAAAGTATACATATATATATGCCTGCTGCTGCAGGAAAGCCGTTAAAGCATGCCATCTCCTTACAGACGACATTGGACCTGGCTATCTATGTCTGCACGACATGGCAACCCTGCAGCTTGGAAGGACGTAAGGCTGCGGGGTTCCGTCCGCGTCCACAGGAAGATCGATGCGCTCCTGAACAAAATCGCCGCGAAGCAGGATGTGTTTAGAGAGCTTGGCGCGGTGAAGAGGGCTGTGGCTGCTGTTTCAGCGCTTGTGGTGGAGCAGCGGGGAGTACCACCAAGGACAACGCAGACGCAGATGCAGACGCACACGGATGTTTTCGAGGCGGAGGGGCGGAGGGAGCTTTGTGGGGTGAGGGAGGATGTTGCGTGTTGCAGGCGTGAGGTTGCTGCTGTTCGGGCTGTGATGGTCAATCAGTGGGTGAGGGCGTTGTCTGGGTTGATTGTAAGGATTCCACCACGGGATCCGGCGTGTGGTGGTGGTGGTGGTGGTGATGGTTCTTGGGAGGATGACTTCCCGGCGACAGTGAGGGACTTTTGGAAGCTGGGGAGGATTGAGAAAAGTATGCTTGTGCTTATCTATATGTGCTATTTTCCTCGGTTATTCTACATGTTTTATTGTCTTGTTTTCTTCCCGCCTTACAGATCATGGAGTGGAGTGGAGATACGATACCCTCATGCGCCTAGCGGAATCCTACACTACCCACATCCCGTGCTAGCAAGACTAGCGACGCATTGAACGCGACGGATCCCAGTCTCGTTCAGTTCCTCACGATACGAGATGCTGCGTCCGAGTATCCGATGCGGTGTCTACGGGCCCTGGCGGCGGTCTGGGGCCTAGCCTTCGACCTCCTTGAGCGGCCACCGGATCTTGTCGTCATACTGGCGAAGTTTCACGGCGAAATTGACTGGATGGTGGTTTTCCCGCTCCCATACGATCTCGTGGGATATTGGAGTGTAGAGGATCCGACTTGTATGTTTCATGTTGATGTGAGATATAGAGAGACACCGGGGGGAGGAAGGGAATATTCAACCGCTCGAATTCCAGCCAACGGACGATAATGTTAATACATATGAATTAGAAGATCAATGCTTTTTCTGATAGATGAATGAATGAACGGTGGGAAATTGACAAATAAATATGTCCATTGGCCGCTAAGAAGAAAGAAAAAATAGATAAGTAATAAAATAAAAAGTCCAATAAATAGTAAGAGAAATAAAAATGAAAAGGAAAAAGGAAACTTGCTATGCAGCTCTATACAGGAAACAAGCAACGAACATAAGGAGGAGAGGAAAGGGAAAAAATAAAACTGGAAAAGAGCACAATCCCATCAGGCCAATTAGACGACGAACGAGAACCCAGTACATTACCCAGAAACCGCTCACATTCACGCCATTTTAATTATCAAGCCCAAAACTCCAGACACGAAAAAGGGGCCCACTAATGCACCACCCAGACGAAAAAGACGCCTTCATGAACCCAGAAACACCAAGCTCTGCGTACACGAACACCGACATGTGATACAACCAACCCCCTTTCATGCCAACCCGTACAAACTCACTCACTAGCCGGAGGAAAGCCATTTCCACCACAACCCATAGTTCCCAGTTCTATAGATGTCCATGCAGCCTCACGCGATAGAGACACGTATGCGCCGCGCCCCAGTTGGACTTAACGCGGAACACGACCTTCTCCACACGCGCGGCCGGCATGTCGATGACAGCATCCAACTCGAAGCGCTGGATGTGATGGTCGCCATGGATGTTGTATTGCCACCGGCCAACGCGGAAGAATGAGGGTCCGAGGAGCGCGTCTTCCGAATACGCTGTCGTCGGCTCGTCCGGATACACCTGCCGGAGGGTGGTGAGGATGGCGTCCCGTAGCCGGGAGGGGAGGAGGTAGTGGAGGGAATGGGAGGGGTGGAGGTGGGCTATTGGCGGGGAACGGAGATAGGGAGGAGTATAGGGTGGTGGGGGGGGACGGCCCGGGGCGGAGGAAGGGGATGAGGGAGGATTTGACGAGCTGGAGCCTGGCGGGTAGGCTGCTGCTGCAGCTGCGGGCTGACGGGCTGTGTACTGGGCCCACAGCTCCATCTCTCGTGGCGCGCTGCCAGGGTCCAAGGTTGCACCTTTGGGGATGTGCTCGACGACCACCTCTTCAGGGACGATCGGTCGTCCGAGAAGAATAGTCAGTTGAGAAACATTGGACCGTGTTGCAGCGCACCAGCATTCTCCGACGCCGTCCCATGGCTGGAGTGCGGCAACCGGTGGGGACCCGCGGGGCACCTTTGCAAGGTACTGACCAATCCGACTAACAAGCCCAGCCGATGTTGACATCGTTGGGCTGGTGAGGTACGGGTCGACCACTGCCCCCATGCCAACCGAGGCGTAATTGACTTTTGGTGGTGCCAGAGGATCCGTCGCTGCCGCAGGAGACCTGCTTAGCGCTTCCTTGAGGTGTGGTAGTCTTCTGTTCCACTCATTTTTCAGAGTGGCGACGTCCTTGGCCATGTCCAACAGTCGCTGGTCGACGTGAGAGGAGAGCTTGTGGAATGCGTCAGCGTACATGGAGGTTGAGTTATCCATTGTAAATGAGGAAGTCGGCCTACATAAGTAGTGGGACATCGTTGTTTGTAGACTGTGTGGAAACGCGCAGGCGTGGTTTCTGCAGAAATAAGCGAGGAATGTCGTGAGGAAAAGACCGATTATGACTAGAATGGCTGATGGAGTTTTGGCAATTCCTGCAAGACGTTTTTGGCTGGAGGTGACATTGGCAGCTGCAGGGGTGGCGGCGACGAAGACAGGAGAGGAGTGTGTAGAGGAACTCGGGGTGTGGTTCGAAGCGGACGACGTAGAAGAAGTTGTTGATTTGGAACGAGGCTCATCACGTAGCTGGTTAAACGCTGGAACAGGTGGGAGCGTCCTTCTGACAGCTGTGGGTGCGGCAGCGCGTGAAGCATCAACTGGGCCTGAGAGATGAGGATTGGCGGGAAATGATTCTTCAAATATAGGACGACGAGTAGGGGGAAAGCTTAGACCGCTAGGTCCCTGCGAGCTGGAAGGTCGGGAACCGTAAGGGTCGCGAAGGTAATAGTTTGGGCGAGTTCCAGTATTGACTTCCCGCGGCAAGGTGCCATGAATGGCACGTTCAGTTGTCCAGCTGATGCTTGCGGAATCGTTGAATGATGGGGTATCAGGGAGGGTGGAGGTATATGCCTCTTCTTCTTCTTGCTTAACATTTTCCGTTTCTTCAGATACTTCACGGAGAGATTCAAGGAGTTGCCCTTCCGGCGTCGGCTGGCGTGAGGCAGCTCTACGAGAACCTGCTCTGCCGCGTGTTGCTGTGGTTCTGCGAGATGGTGTTCTGCGGGAGGCAGGTTCAGGTGCTGGAGACATACTGGAGCGCATAGATAGACTCATTGAGCGAGTCTGGCGCCTTTCGGGACTGGGATTTCTTGGATCTTCAACGCGAGCTAGTTCGCGGTCTTGAGCTTGACGCAAGCCGTCATCGAGGGTATCGACCATCTCGGACAATCCCATAGAAGGATCAACTTCAAGCTGGCGAGGAAGTGCGGGAGTTTTGCTGGAACCGTAAGCGAAGGACTGCTGGGTGCGGACGTCTGGAAGAGATGGATTGCCCAGGTCGGGGTTTGACTGATCAGCCTGAGTAGCAGTTGCAGCGTTCGCAGTAGCGGCTGCTCGAGTTGGACGAGTACTCTGAGCACGGGAGCCCGAACGGAGAGAAGTAGCTCTGCGACCAGTCATTTTTCTTAAAAAATAGATTCAGGAGGAGCTCTATAAATATATGTTTAGGATTTTCAGAGAGCTGATCAATGCAATTGCAATTGTAATCTGAGACACTGTTCTTCTAGGAACGTTGTTTCCACCTGCGTTGCAGAATTAGTAGAGAAAACTTTAGAAGCATATCGAAAGTGTGTCAGGGACTGTTGTAACAGAAGGATTCAAGGGACGCACACCAGAGTATAGTTGAGATGGAGATAGATATTGAAGAGGGAGAGATGGTTGTAAGAGGAATTGCAGTTGTACCCGGCTCGTAGAAGATTGATACTTTCTGGGAAAGGAGAAGAGCAGAGGGATGGCGATGAGAGTGTCTCAACCAGGGAAGAAGGAGGAAATAGATAGATGAGGGAATAATAAAGGGTAATTGGACAAAGAAAAGTCTTTATAAGGCTGCAAAGATGTTTTTTTCCTTCTCTGTTTGGATATAATAAGACCAGCTCAAAGATATCCAGGTAGTGTTCATGCAAGAAAGTGCTTCAAAGAGCAAATACTCTGACGATTGATGCTTCGCAATTTGACGGAGCAATAGGGCAACACAGGAGTAGTTGTTGAATGAACAATGATGGCTGATTGAACTTGATAGAAGTATTTGAAACGGTTCTAATGCTGGGATCATGAATGTGAGTATGAAGAAGAGAGTGACTGAAGGAGAGACGGAGAAGGAGTAGAAAGAAGGAAGAAACGATGAGACGGTTTAAACAAGGAAAAGGAAGAGGAGCGACTGGGCTGGCATAATACCAAAAATAGAATAGAAGTAGCATAGAAAAGAAGCTTGGTCACTCACTTCTTGAATCCGTCGAAGGCTGAATGAATCAATTCAAAGCTTCCCCGCCTGCCGCAAGGAAGAAGTGAAGTTTTTTACTCCCAGGAGGGACGGTCGAGTTGAGCCCCGCAGTAATAGGTGTAGCGTAAATCCAGACAGCTTCACTTTCAAAAGTCCTGGAGAACCAAAGGTCTGTCTTTTGCTAGAAATCGAACTCTACTCGTGGATTTGATAGTGGCTTGGTGATGGTGATATAGGGAAGGCGATCGTAAAGGCCTTTCTGCCCTTATCCTGGCGCGCTCTCCCTTCTTTCATTCACGACGACAAAACAGAACAAGTTCCTCAACCGGCTCCCTCTTCTGCGTAACCAGGTCTGAACCCCTCCTCTTTCTTCGCTTGACGTGATAATTCAGATTGCTATCACCGTATTGCTATGTGAATGGGTCGAACAGAGTCCAGATACGAGAGCAGGAACCCCCCGATGAGCCGGCAAAATTGGGTATCAATCGAGTAGTAGTGCAGAACACCGGGCCAAAAAGTGAATAGAATGGCCCTCCAGCTTTCAATCATTCAATATCAGCCCGGATATCAAAAATCAAAATTTGATATCGCCCGCTAGAGTAGTTTCCAAGGGTAATAATAATCATAATAATATGTAAGAATCAGTAGGAAACGCGCATTTCAAGAGGCATGCGCCTTTTGGGAGACCAAAGAGAACAAGATAACAAACACCCTAAAATAGGCAGAGCAGTGTCATCCCTTTATATATAGATATACACCACTGCCCTTTTCTTTGATCTTTCGCACACACACACACACTCTCTCTCTCTCTCACTCTCTCTGGCGGTCTTTATATACTTGTTTGCCGCGTGCATTTATTTGTATTTGTTGTTGTCCCTTCGTTGTTTTGTCGTTCGCAGGCCGGAGTTTTGTTGTTGCGGACGGACGGAAGCCAGCCGCACTAGGCCAGGTTGGGCTAGATTGTGTAATTTCTATGCTTGTATCATCATTTCCTTGTTAACGCGCGCAAAATATAGGGGATGGTATTTTTCCTTTGATTGCTTGGCTTCTGCTTGCATACTCCGTATATCTCTTTTATTTATTTGCCCATACTATCAAATCATAGGCATACGGATGAGTGTGGCTCTTTGTATATTATATAGTAAAGCGCCATTAGCTTCTGATTATATCCCAGCGGGCCAACCGCAACCGGCCTTTCTACCTACCCTACCTACCACATGTTGATATCAATATGTACATATACATGTACATAGGTAGGCACCCTGATAACCTTTCATAGTATTTTACTCAATGCGAATCTCAAACCACGTTCTTACCACCTAGGCCAAAAAGACCACAAAACGGCTGGCTCGTTTGGTCATGTTCTTCCTTGGTCTGTGAAAAGATGAGTATATCGCTGCGATATATACTCCACACCAGGCCCCGCAGCGCCTGATTATTTAACGTAGGCTTGAAAAGTGGCCGGGGAATTGCACAAACCACATGGTATAACGAGATATTCGAAGTTGCCATACTTGGTAGGAAAGGAGGTCTTCCATTCTTCGCCTTCGTTTATGCGGATCCTATGATAGGCATCCCGGAGATCGATTTTCGAGAATACTTTCGCGCTCGATAAATACATCGATCATTAGAAACACACCTATTCCAGAGCTCCACTCATCGATATCAAGTCAAGAGGAAAATGAAAGAAATGAAAAGACAATGAAGTGAAAGTAAAACTCAAAAGCATGTATGTAAAGTACAGAGTATCCTTGGCGGGGATGTATATGACGGGGATATATCAATTGTAAAAGACTGACTGGGACAGGCACGACCGTATACGGTACATATACAGACTTAGATAAGATAGATAGATGAGCAAAAGCTGTAGATGGGGCGGGTGTCTCGGCGGGATGTTATGATATATACCGGACATCCAACAACTTCAGTATCCTCAACAAGTCCAGATTCCAATCGTGCCATCTCTCCGCCCCTCGGTCAGATACCCGTCCTTAATCCGCACCCGCTCCACAATAGACGCCGCCTTTCCTTCTTCCGCCGCCGTCACGCCCGCGCCGCAGCTCCAGTGTCGCCCTTCCGTCTTGTCATAGACTTTGACGACGTCCTCGCCCGCCGCGGAGACGACGCGACGCGTGTCGAACATCATGCTCGTTATGGGATTGTCGTACGCGTAGGCGTCGTATATGGAGCCAGTTCGGAGGTCCCAGATCTGTTTTAATTTCATATAAAAGTAATTAATTTTTGGAAATGAAAAGGGAAATCACGTGGAAGGCTAAGAAAAAGTCAGGCGGGTTGGCCGCGGCTTGTTTACTTACCCGTATACTCCGGTCCATGCTCCCTGTTACCAAATGCACATCGTCAAATTGCAAGCACGTCACGGGCCCAGTATGTCCCACCAGACTGCGGTGTACCTGTCCGCTACGTAAATCCCACAACCGGACCATCCCGTCTGCTGTCCCGCATGCCAAGGCCGCATCAAAGCATTGTATCGCGCCGACAAAATCCGCTGACGCATCCGGTAGCCGGCCGGTTGGTCGCCACGGATTATCGCTGGAAGATAGCGACGATGCTTGCGCCGCAGCCCAGAGGACATCAAGTGTCTGTACGCAGCGGCCCTTGACCAAATCCCACTGTCGCAGCGTTTTATCTGCCGATCCCGATATGAGCGTGTCGCCGCGGAAGTGGAGGGCCGTGACCTCGTCGACGTGCGCCTCGAGGGAAAAGAGGGGGCAATCTTCCATGCTGGAAGGAGGGGGCGGCGGGGGTGCGGCGGCCGGATCCTCGTACCCTAGCGCATCTTCGTCATCTTCCTCGTGGTTGCCAATGTGATTATCCCGGGGTGCGTATTTTGCACGGCTAAGATCCCATAGTCGGATAGATGCGTCCATGGAGCCCGTTGCGACGAGGTTATCCTCCACTTGCAAGCAACGGACGGAGGCGTGGTGCCCTTCCAAAAATCCCATGCATCGGCCAAGATTTAAATCCCACACTCGGACTGTGTCGTCCAACGCTGCGCTGACCATTGTTCCAAAGGGGACGTCAAAATCGATAGCGGATATCACATCATTATGGGCTTCGAGCTCTCTGATCAACGAGCCTGGCTCGAAATGTTCGTGGAGGATGGGCATGGATCTCTTTCCTAGAAAGGTTGTTCAGATTGATAAATTAGCTTGAATGTGGGGTGTAGGTTAAGGTGGGAAAATGAGGTTGGAAATACTGACTTAACGATTTGTGTTTCCATGTTCTGGGAGATGGTAATTTCTCATAGATGGATTCCGACATAAAAGACGCATCCATGGCCTGCGTGTCAGATGCGACAGAGGGGTCCGTAGCTTCGTTGGTTTTGGGAGTATCTGGTCGTGTGGCCGCTTCCTCCTCCAGGTATTCTAGTTTATTGTCCAATTGAACCACTATTCTCAGATTCATAAGTTAGCTCTTCGATTCCCACCGTAGAAACAACAAAGAACAATGTTGCAGCCTTACAGTCATGTTCCAAATCCGCCTCATCCATCTCAAGCCGGGCAAGGCGGTCTAGCACGATTTTCCGCATGCTTTGCAAATTCGAAATTTTGTTATCTATCTCGTGAATCTCCGCACTACACATATTTTTCCTTATCCCCATCAATTCCAGTCGTCGACTGAAGGTATCCCTGTCCTTCCTTAACGAGGATAATGACGGCGGTAAGGCCCCCGCATTCGATACCGCGGCATCCAACAACTTCTGCCCGCGTGAGCTTCGCCTTCGATGTGACTTCCTGTGTTCCTGCTCATCTTCGGGCATTGAGGCCTGGAAACCTTGAAACAAGGAGTAGGTGCTCCTGTCTTCCGGGATGTTGGCTAGCAAGTCATCTGAGAGAGACGAGATGGCGCGACTTTGGATTTCGGATGTGGATAGTTTCGACCGGACGAGGTCTGTGGGGGTGGTCTGGGCGAGAGAAAACATCCTGCGCTGCATCGACGGGCGACGCAGTTCCTTATGGATCTCATTTACGGCGGAATGGTAGTGTGTTCCGCTGGGAATGTCCTGCATCGGGGCGATGAGATGGCCGGCGGTGGTCGTAACTTTTCGGCCAAAGGCCTCGATATGGCGAGTCTGAGGAGTGGTGTTAGTAAATGAGAACGGAAAGGAAAAGGTTTCGATCATATTATTTTTTCAGTTTTCATTTCCACCTATGGTTTTTTCCCTTACCGTTAAGCCAGTCCCCAGCACAGAGGAAGTCTCCTCGTCGACGCCGGCCGCCGCGGAGGACGCAGATTTGCCGGAAGGCGAGTCATTGCGAGGATACGAGCCGGCCATGGAAGCGCGAGGAGGACGCGGGAGAGAGCCCAACTCCAATGGGAAACCTCAGAGGAGGGGAGAGGATACGTGAAAAGTGTTGCACCGGGACGTGGAGTTTCTGCTGGGGTTCATTCGGTGCATTTGGACATATTTTGATGTTTGAGGAAGGGAGATAGGCTGTATTGTGGTTACAATACGATAAATACACCATGCCGCTTGGGGAAATGCCGAGGCTAGGTGTTTTCAGCGGGCAAGGAGCTGGTGCATACATCAACTGGGGGTGGTTGGGGGCGCGAATAGGCGTTCTGCCGCCCGGAACTTAGTTAAAGATTAGCTAAACCGCGGTTCTATAACAGTTAACTCTCCGTCTGGAAAGGTTGTTGCGAACCAGGGGATCCTAGCATGGAATCTTGCCTTGCATTAAAATAGCGTTCCTTCATGGTAATAAGGCTGGGTTCTGATATATTTAGCTATTATTTGGGAGTTTTGAGATTTATTAGAATTGATTTAACTATTGGACGGCGAATTTATTGGATAACAATGGCCCAGAGGAGGGGGGGCTCGTTGATTTCGAAATATTTATGGCCATCGCCACCCCACCTAAATAACTACTAAATATCATAGGAGTCAATTCATCCCCAAGTGAACAAGAACTGACCTGCACAATCTATTTAGCTACAACACCCCATGCTGGTGCTTCATCAATATCTCCACTCCCCAGCTACACTGTTCTTCTTCGACAATATGGATACCGCCATTGATCTGTCTGATGCCTCCAAGGCGTTGGATCTTGACAACATCAGATTCCAGCTAATGTGAGCTACTCCTCTATTAACAATACAGAGAGACCTAGCAGCAATGAAAATGATCACATATATATCTAAACCAATGAGCCCAGCTAATACAAAACCCCCGTTTCCAGCCGCCTCGAAGATACCATAACCTTCCACCTAATCGAACGCGTCCAATTCCCCCTCAACAAACCCATCTACGTGTCCGGCGGGGTCAAAATCCCAAACTCAGATCTCAGTCTTATGGACTACCTACTCCGAGAACAGGAACGTCTCCAATCGCGCGTGCGCCGCTACCAGTCCCCCGATGAATACCCTTTCTTCCCAGACGTCCTCGAGGAGCCCATCCTCCAACCCATCCAGTACCCCAAGATCCTCCACCCCAACGACGTAAACGTCAACGACGTTATCAAGTCGCGATACGTCAATGAAATCTTGCCCAATACATGTCGGAAATTTGACCGTGAGGACCGTGGCGAGACGCAGGAGAACTACGGCTCCTCGGCAACGTGCGATGTCAATTGCCTGCAAGCGCTGTCGAGACGGATACACTTTGGCAAGTTCGTGGCGGAGTCGAAGTTCCGGATGGATCCTGAGAAGTTTGTGAAATTGATCAAGGCGGGCGATCGGAAGGGGATTGACGAGGCCATTACCAATGCTGCGGTGGAGAAGAAGGTGCTGGAACGGCTAAGGCTTAAGGCGAGGACGTACGGTACGGATCCTGCTGGTCCTGCTACGCCTGATGGGAACAACCAGAAGATTAACGTCGAGGCGGTTGTGGCTATGTATAAGGTTTGTTTTTCGTTATTATCTTTCAATTTTCTCCTCCTATATGCGCTCGACCCTGGGAACTAAAATTGTGCAACAGGATAGCGTGATTCCGATGACGAAGATTGTGGAGGTAGAATATCTAATGCAGCGTCTGAAGGGTACTGAGTGGGAGTAATCATATACAACATGCATGGATATGGAAGCAAAACAGCGAAGAGCTTTAGCACGGCGCAATGGTTTTACGGGACTATCCACGATTTACCGGCAAGATAGAAGGAAACACAAACTATAGGGTTATACGTCATAAACAAATCAACTAATGAATATTTTCTCATTTTATATACTTCTTCTTCTTCTTCAAGAAGACGGGTTTAGATATTCCTTTAAATCTTTCACGGCCGCTTCAAACTTCGCCGCTTCTATTAAAACCAAATGGCCCTGTGGCCGCACGCCATACTCATGAAACGCGCGCTTGGAATCTGACGCCCCTTCCTCCTGTTGTCGGGTATACTCATATCCCCCATAGCATAACGCATGTTTCTGCAACAGCTCATCCTCCGCGTGGAAATAGAACATCTCGTTCTTCTCGTCTGCGCCTTTCTTCTTCTTCTTTTGTGGCCGGTCGTCCTCCTCGTCCAGTTTCGATTTGACTTCTTCGTAAGTCCGTGATAAGATTAGGTAATGTGTAAAGTTGTAGGGTTCATTTTCTTCGAGGGCCCAGGCTATCTCCTCTAGAAGCATGGTGTACATAGGTGGGACGACTTCAGCGGGTATGTTGATTAGTCGTTCTGTTAATATCAGTCCGATCGCAGGGGGTGTTGGTTGCGTTAAGAGGTTGTCTAAGGGGGAGAGTTTGGCAGAGGAGGAGGATTTTCGTTGGATGTAGCTTGTTAGGTCTTTTATAACTGGTACGTCCTGTGTCAATTGAATAAATACATGCGGTTAGCACAACAAGGATTATCGACATATATGAGTCCGTTGGTTTTTTTCAATGCGGTTTCAGAAAACAGTACCTTATGCTGCTGTAGATTCAACACTGTAAGGAAGGCAAATGGATCACCTTCATTGCCATCAACCTTCACTGTCGAGCCTAGCAGTGGTTGCGACAGTATCAGATCGGTCAATTCAGAGAGGTCGAATAGTTGCGCATCGTTGTCTAGTAGCTGGCGGAGCAGATTTCTGAGGCCGTGGAAATCTACTGCTGGTTGTGGATCGAACCACTCGAATTCAACATTCACTATATCCATTTCCTATGGCAGATATCCGGGCTCATTAGTTAGTCAAAAGCCGGTCCAATGCAATTTCGACGAGCGACACCCGAGAGGGGTTTTGGGGGGGGGGGGAAGTAGATACATCTTCGCTGCTGCTATCGTTTTCACCCAAGGCGCGGGTTGTGTTTCCCATCTCCACGTCACCGTCTTTTGATTGCTTTCGCTTGCGCATTATGAGGTAACTGTGTGCTTGAAAATGTATTTGAGAATAAATGTGTCGGGCAGGGCGGGGGTGTTGTTATGAATCTCTATCTTCACTCCACGCATTATTGAAGCCAACAAAATAAAAGTCGAAATGACGATGCGGGTCATTCCAAGCTAGTTCAGCCAGAATAAGTCTAGTGGGCCCCGGTCCCCAACCTTAATGCTGACATCAAGACAAAGACACTTGCAAGAAACTACGGAGTAACTACAGAACATCTTGAAATAACAGGAGTGATGTGCAATAATGAGATATAATGAGATATCATCTTGGGATGAACTCGCATTGTTTACGCCGCTTCATCGCCCTTCATGCTCACAGCTTTCTACCCCGAAGCTGAACGAAACTTGGAAATCCTTTAGGATCATAGGAGAGATCTTCTCCTTTACATATACTGATACTGGAACTAGGTCATTCCCTCAGGGCTTCTCTATGTCTGGTCTAGGGGGCAATGTTTATATTTCTCAGCAAAATGGCACCACACTTCCAACGGTCCACGGGTGACTCCTCATATCTCCCCAACAATACCTAGCCCTACCAAGGTATATAGCCAAACTATGAGCAGTGGAATTGCAGCTAACTATAAACATAAACCTAAGATGTCGCCTCCTTCGAGACTGTCATTGTTTGCTTTCTCTGGTTGACATGAGTCCACGTGAGCTGCCAACTCCAACCCCCCTTCGCTGGTGACATCACCATCCCCTGCTCCTCAAAACCCGGATATCAGAGAGAAAGGATATCTCTTTCCTACACTACATTTATATTGACATTGAATAGGCCCAGCCCATTCTACTATACCTCTTGTACACAATAAACTTGGAGTCTTCTGCCTCGAACATAAATCCGGCCCGCACCGAAATATCGTCGTTTTTTGGACACGCCCCCTTACACCCACTTCTTCATCACGAACCGAACCGCAAGAAAAAAGGCAGAGAGCAGAATAATAGATAACAATGGCGGGAAACTCCAAGGTCGGCAACCCCGGACTTTACGAGGCAGGAGACCAGAGACATTCTCCTCGTTCCGAAGCCATCGAAGCCAAGCGAAACAGAGACCATCCTCCTCCGTCTAGCCGTAGAGGTAGCCGCCATTCAAAAGAACAGCTCCTGTCGAAAAACGGCTCGATGCCCACGGATGAAGAGCTCGCGAAGCATGACCCTACTGCTCCAGTTGAGTCCTTTTTCTTTTCTTTTTCTCCATGTCTTATTCCTTTAATGGCTTCAGAGGTTAGCCCTGGTTTTGAGAGTAGGGGCGTTTGAGTCTAGCTATGTACATGTACAAGGAAGCGGAAGGAAGCGGGGGGTGGGGCTTGATATGGGAGATCTCTTTCAAGGCTTCAAAGCGATGATGCTTCATTATGAAGAGCTTTATTACCCAATTTCATTCTAACCAACGATCTACTGACAATAATAATTGCCATTTCCAGGCGAAGATGCACGGCCATAAACCGTCTCGCGGTGCAGTGATCGATGCACAGCTTCGTGCCGAGGATGAGGAGCGCATGCGTCAAAAAGGCTACAAGTAAAGTGTCGCGGAGACGTGCTTTACTTGAGGGGGTGAGGTTCTTCTTGGAATCACCCGGCTGCATTAGGAGGGAAACGGAAAGCGAGCTAGCGGAGTGTGGGTAGTAGTGGGATATAGTTTCTGTTATGCGTTGGAATTTGCCTGTTCCTGTTTCTGGTTTGATCATGCAAGAGAGATTAGGAACCCGAGAGGATGGGAGTATGGTTGGTGCCAAATTGCGGTTTGGTCTCTGGGGTTTTACCACAGCATTTTATGTAAATTACTAGGTTGAACATGGCTGCCAAATGGGAGACAGCCTGCCAAATCCTCGCCTTACGAGGACCCAGTTGAACGGGGTCGTCAGGCGTACGAAATCATGATCGAGTGTTCTTGCTCTTATCTAAAATGCACAGTTAATACATCCTCATTAGCCTCAGCACTGGCTCAGAGGAGAGAGCTGGGATTAATACAGGTTATGCACTCATTACTGCCCACAGAAACAGTTCAGCACTGCACTGTTAGTAAAAATGTAAAACATGATCATACAATGCAAATGCCTAACAGACCCTGATCGGAGATTTCAGTTCAATGTAAATAAATCAAAGTTTTGATGAGTAGGATGACATCGGCTCTCTCCATACCATACCCGGGTTCGGGCTAGTTAAGGCTCCGGCCGGCTTGGGCCGACCCGACCCAATATTCGCCGGGTGTGTCTTTTTTCGGGCCGAAGTCGACACAACAACCAACCCCGTAACTAGTAGTTATCATACCATACTATACTCCGTACGGGAGTACACACCAACTTCATCTGGGCTATATGTCCATATCGCTCACTCAACAGACGAGAGATCTTGTTTGTGCAACCTACCACCTAGCTTCGCCCGTGTATGTAAGTCAAAAAGACAAAGAAGTAGTTAAAATGGAATTGGCCCTGGGATCTCCTCCAAAACTTTCACATCTAGATATTTTTATCTATTATTTAAGTTAACACAACGTAGATTCAAGGCCAAGCATTGTCATAAATATTCGATTGATATTAAAATTAACCACTTTAGATTTAAATAGGGCTTAGTCATATGCATTAAATGCTGCAGAATCCCGAACATTGAAACTTGGGTCCTCTTGCCTCTCAAGATCTCTAGGAACTATCCCACCACCGCCAAATAAATAGCCGAACCATCGCCGCGGCTGTTCGGGATTCTGGGGAATCGCTGCATAGAAATGAAATTGTCAGTCTCCGTTTCTCTTTTGAGAGAAAAGAATGCTCCTAGTAGAGCATTTCAATCACGAGATAAAATATTGAAGTAGGACTTCTGGTCCTTACCAGAATAGACAACAAGCGATGTGCAAGATGGATATCCGTTACATTGTTTTTTCATAAGATCTACCCATTTGTACCAGGGGTACTGGCGGTAGGCTTCACTATGCCCGTAGAGGATGCGAGCCGGCGATATATCGGAGCCTGGCACCCAGTTATAGGGTGGTTCCATATACACGGGCGAAAATTTCTTGCCAGAGGCACCTCCAGCCAAGGCGGCAAGGGCAGCTGCCAGAAGAGTTGCCACTTTCATTTTTCTTTTAAATGGGAGGATTAGAAGGGGATTGAGGGAGCAGGGTGTGAAAAGTAAAGTAAAAAGTGAAAAAAAAAAAAAAAAAAAAAAAAAAAAAAAAAAAAAAGGGCCTTAAGAGGCCACACACTGTTTATGCAGATAAAGTCAGTAGAGGTTCGGGGGAGAGCGGTTGGCCTCCTTTATATATTCCGATGGCATAGCGAATATACTGGTCGAATCCCCCAAGGTGATGACCGATTTTTGTTGGTTCTCTCCATCGTTTGGGAACGGGGATTAAGTTAGCTCATCGTGGAGCGGAAGGCGGGCGGACCAGCCCTCCCCGAGGTCTGTGATATATCTATCCATGGTAGGTAGGTAGGCATGCATCTGCATCAGAGTTAGCAATCAACATGTCAAACGCAGCTGGACGAGCGCGCGCGCGGATGGGGCCGGGTAGAAGTCATTGCGCGGTTCTTTAAGCAAAGCAAGCCCAAGGTGGAGGGTGGACTTCACGAACGATGCTGAATTATGACTGTTTAAAAGGAGCGTGTTTTGAAGTGCAGAAATTAACAGCGGCAGAAATCAGTGTTGCATCTATGTATTTATCAACCTTTCTGGCACGCAGGCCTGCAACAAATAACGCCCTCAGGACCGCCGTTTAAAAGAGTTTGTTTCTTTACCTCGATCCAAGTTCACAATGTCGTCATTATCATACCAAAAGTATGACTCCATGTCCATTTGCGCTTTCAATCATTGATACGATTATTCACATAAGCTTCTGAAGTCATCTCTCCAAAGCGGGGAAGAGAGAGTTGGGAGCTGCCAAAGAACCACCGTTCCGTTCCCCGTCCCCGCGTCAACGCCTTATATGGAGTTCAGCGGGATTCCGGGGAACTAGGAGCATCTTGCCGTGGTACATTCCAGAGGAGACACAGGAGTTTCCGAGTTGGAGGGATGGATTGAGATTTCAGGGAGACAGAGGCACGAAAGATTCTGGCTCAAAAACATCGGGGCGGGGGGGGGGTCGGTCTGGGGGGGGGGGGGGGATGTTATCGATGATGTACTTTACTACAGTTACATGTAGTAGTTACAGTTAGTTAGTTTAACTTTTAACTAGTTAGTTACATTACTATTTATTATGTCGAAGAAACCAGAATATACATGATCAATTCCGCTTCTTCCTCTCCTCGCTATGCAAACCTATCCTGACGGTAGGTAGTATTTGGCTATAAATCTCTCGAATAAGTATCTGACATATAACCCACCCCCCCCCCCAAGGACTTATTCCCTTCCCCCCTTTTTCCCTCCTCTCTCCTCCAACAACTTCCCCTCCCGCTGATCGCCAATGTGCAATGTTCAATCTCAAGAACCTCAGACAGATCCAGTCCGCCGAAGTCTAATTCGCATCCAACAACCTTGGAAGATGGAACCTTGCTGCGATTGTTCAGTTTGGTCTCGTCGACCCCCGCCGCTAAGAGCCTTAAGAGTTGGTTGGCATGGAATTTGGCTCTGCCATCAGACCAGACCCATCCATTCCCATCCCATCTCGTATGTTATCCACGAATATACCTAAGAGGAATGATGGCGTGTCCACTCCTCTGCTACTCTACTGTGCTCGGCAGCTGTGGCATTATTATTATTGTGATACGCCGTATTAATGGTGTCAGGCCAGGATGTTGGATCACGGACGAAGCCCCTGACCTGAGACCCTGACACCCCTTTTACTTTTCAAAAAAAAAAAAGGTGCGCGCTAGAACAAGGAAAAAGGCCTTTCGATGTCTCTGTCTGTCTCTGTCTCGGCTGCATCTCTTTCTTCTGAAACCAATTAATCAGTCTTGGAAAACCGTTAGTAATGTTATTGCTCGCCTCGGTCTTTCTTTCTTTCTTTTTTTTTCTTTTTTTTTTTTTTTTTTTCTTCCCCTTTACAATTATAAAGTCTTGCCATCCAACACTACCCGTCAGACTCCCTCTCTACCTAGCACCGAGGATCACAGAATCGGGCTCCGTCGCTAGTCCAATCAGTCAGTCCAGTCCCCTGCTAAGTTGTAATTATAAACTAACCTACGTCTATCGCTTATTTGCTCGTCTATTTCGCGCTACCCTGAATTCCTTACGACCCATTCGGGCCCCATTCCTCCTCGCAAGAGCAGCCCAGCTGGATCGGTCCATATGATCGCGGAAAATGGCGACCTCTTCATGTCCACAGCCGCTGAAGGCCCGGCAGATGGATGCCTCTGACGCTTTCCCTACGCCTGCGCCGCGGAAGCGACGCAGAAAAGCTGTCAGCAATGGGGCTGCAGACGACTGCTTTACTTGCGCCAATCGCAGCGTCAAATGCGATCGACGGCGCCCATACTGCACCCAGTGCCTGGGTTTGGGCATGCGGTGCTCCGGCTACAAAACCACCTTGACATGGGGAGTTGGCGTAGCCAGTCGCGGCAAGCTGCGCGGTCTCTCCTGGCCTGTTTGTGGCGCTCTACAAGCTGCCGCGTCTGCGACGGTCGCCGACTCTACTCGACAAGCAGCGGAATCAGAACGCCGTCTTCCTCCCCCTGCGTCGCGGGCGCGTCCGGATGTGAAAGTCACTGCCCGTTCGGCCTCGAAACGCACCCGCCCTGATCAGCTAGCGGCCCGGAAGACCACCACAGTGGCCACTATCGACTCGCTGCAGCACGTCGATGTGACCGTCTCATCATCACCACCTGGCCCCTCCAACCTTGCTACTCATCGCAGTAGCGCACCCACTGAGTCATCTGTCACGCCTACCCAACTGCCCCAGACTGAAGACAAATATCCGCTGCTGGTAAATTCTGCTGCCCCCTTACTATCAAGTCGTCATCATGATAGCACCGCTATTCCTTTCCGAAGTCCCGGGGTCGAATCTGGCCATCCCGGACCTATACCTTTCGTTTCATACATCGATGCGGCAACCACCCAGCCAATACACCCGTCTGCCTCCCAACCGGCCATAAGCAACGCCGACTTCAACTACGTGAGCTCTGGTTTAGCTCCACAATTACAGGAATTCAGCCCAAGGATCGGAGGGAGCCATAGTCATTTGGCAATCTCTCAATTTGAAAGCCTTCCCCCCTGGCCACAGAAGACTCTATACGATGCGAACAGCCAAGGATCGGAAGCAAGACCAGATGTAAACTTTCGTAACAAATCGCCCAAAAGAAGGTCCACACCGCCGGATTACTTTCTGCTCAGTGCGTACCACCAAGAGTCTAATATCCGAAGCCATACGTCGTTTGTTCCGCAACCCGTATCCATGCAGTTCATTGGCCGGACTCCCCGCATGCAATATCTCATCAACTACTATGCAGAGGTCATATCCCCTGTTATCGTCGCCTTTGATAGTCCGGCAAACCCGTACCGCATGTTTATTCTCGAACTTGCCAAGACTAGCGACACTTTACAGCATGCTCTTGCAGCCCTCTCCCTGAGCAACCTCAGACAGCGGAAAGACCACTGGGGCTTATCTGCCAGGAAAACGTTGCCAGCTCGACTGTCCTCGACGGCTCATTATCGTATGGCGGGACAATCTTGCGAGGAAAGATTTGGTAATCTAGGCCTTGAAGAGCAACAGAAGGAAGAGTCATTCCACAAAGCAATGGCAATCACATCACTTAATGCTCAGCTGGCCCATCCCACCCAAAGACTAGCAGACAGCGTTCTAGCCACGGTGCTAGTCCTGTGCCTCTTCCACATGTGCGATACAGGAGTTGCGAAGTTCCGACCACAACTTGCTGGGGTAAAGAAGCTGCTCGCCTTACGACGGAGTGCTAATAGGAATTGCTCCGATCTAGTAAAGTGGTATACACGCATGTTCGTTTGGTTCGACGTGCTGACCGCAACCATCAACAACCGCGATTGCGAACTGAAGGGCGACTACCTGGATATTGCCGCCAGCGGACATGATGATTGGGCGCTTGCGAACCTGGCTGGATGCGATGGATCAATGTTCAAAATAATCGGCCAGCTGAGCCGCCTGAATATGCTAAGCCAGGGCAAAGCCAGCGCGGAGCCTCCTTCCATGAACGAATGGCCCATTGCAACAGCCCCTCCCCCGCCAAACATGCTCCACCATTCCTCCATGCCACCTCCCTTTAACGAAAGCTACGACACCACACACACACCACTCCAACTCCACATGGAAGATACCATTCTAACAGCAGTGACAACAAAAACACCAAGCTCCGACTCCCGCCCAGAGTTCTGGCGGGAATGGCACGCTCTGCGCCACAGGCTCGAAGCATGGACCCTCCAACTACCCGAAGGCCCACGCGCAGCAACGGACTCCTCCACCCTCGCCGGCTCTTTCCCGCACCCCCACATCTCCCCGACAAACCTGTCCGACCTCTCCAACATCTCCGAATCCTTCCGCTACTCCGCCCTCCTCTACCTCGAGCGCCTCGCACACCCAAACCTCCCCTCCGCCCACCCGCGCATCCAGCGCCTCGTCTACATCTCCCTCCACCACATGAGCGCCGTCAAGTCCGACGTCTACCTGCTCTGGCCGCTCTTCGTGACCGGCGCGGAGTGTACGTTGGACCCCCACCGCGCCCTTATTCGCCGCAACTGCTCTGATATCCAGAAGGATTCGGGCTTTTTCAACAATTTCGCCTCGCTGGAGTTGCTGGAGAAGATCTGGGCTGCGGATGCCTCGGGTAGTTTGAAGCCTGCGAAGCAACAGCCGATGGCCTCTGCGGCTCTGAAGCGGAGTAGGTCCCCCAACGATGCGGGTTCGCGATTTGGGGATGGGGAGGAGGTCCTGGAAGGTGGTGAAGCGTTTAAGTGGAGGAGGATTATGGATTTGGAGGGATCGGATGGAGAGTATATTGTTGTTTAAAGTATTTGTGCCAAGCATGTATATGTTTCTTGATTAGCGGATCATTTTTGTCATTTCTTTTTTTGTCTATCCCGTGTAACTCTTTGCCTGGCGGCTTTTTGTGTGACTGTACATTTGTTTCTCATTATGCTCTTGCTTTCCTTCGTTATATACCTCTTCTTGTTCCGTCCTTCTCTCATCAGCATGAGTCAACCTGAAGAATTAGTTGGTAAATAGTAACTTGAACATATCACCACCTCAAGGCAACTAGGTAATCTCCACGACCCACAGTGATCATTATTATTTTAAATACCTGGGTACTTGTATGTACCCTTCTCACTAACCTCCCTAGGCAGCAGTCTCAGGCGAGAAATCCCTTGCTCGAGTTCTAATAAACGGCAAAAACATTTTTACACACACACACACACACACACACACACATATATATATATATATATACTGCCACCTTTTCTGGCTTTGGCAGTTTATTATCAATTCCATATATAGCTATCCCCACTTCCCTATCCGGGTTTATTCTACTCCTATTGCTCAAAATACCTCTGACCTGTTTACAGTTACACGCGGAGTTAAACTTGAAGGATTTGCTTGAATGACAGTTACACGTTTGTGGCATCCATGACCGACTGACGTCGGCCGAGGGGGGGAGAGAGAGAGAAGAGAGAGAGAGAGAGAGATGTGTGTGTGTTGTGTATGACGGGTTTCACGAGAACGTTGATGTTGCGAATTTTCGGGGTGTTACAAATGAAGAAACCATTCCATTTTGCTGTCTGATAAATGCTGGTTATGCAATATGCAAATGCAATGTGCAATGTGTCATGGGTTGTTGTTTGTGAGAGGGGTAGATACTATCTTTACTATACTCTGTACTACACAGTGCATTGCTTATTTTCCTGGGGATGGGTGGGTTGGTTTTTCCTTTTCTTTTCTTTTCTTTTCTTTTCTTTTCTTTTCTTTTCTTTTTGTTTTTTTCAATTTCCTTTGTTAATTTAGTTCGCTCTCTAGAAACGATTAGAAAAAAAAAAAAGAAAAAAGAAAAAACCACCTTCTTCCTATTGTTACGTAGTTGGGTAAGTATATTTGTAGACTCCCTCCCATGTTTTGATATCACCTTTCCCCAACAAGCGCATGACTGTCATCAACAACCAAGCAGCCGCCCGATAAGTAATTACCCGCCTATCTAAAATATAGAAAAAGTATAAAAAACATTGTGATACATGATATTCTTCCTTTCCAATCTCCGTTTCCCCGGAGGAAGATACAGTACAGTAGGGACAAAAACAGGAACAAATCCCATCATCCATCCCCTTTCACTTCAGCGATAATTCCCCCCCTTCCACAACCAGACGAATAACCTCCTTATTCAACCCGCGCCAATTCTTCCTGGCACTAAGAAACCAGTACGAAAGCGCAAACAACGTGCTTGCCCCAAATATCGGCAGCGCGTAGTTCATATTCACCCCGCTCACGGGCAGGTAGTTCGGAAACGGTAGCCATATCGTCACGTAACATGTATATGCCAGCGCAAAGATGTTGACGGGTAGTCCCAGACGGCCCATGGTCCAGTCGCCGAATTGCAGATTCTCCCGGTGGAATCGGGCGTGCACCATGCAGCTAATGGCGATTATGTAGGAGGAAAAGAGGCCTATGGAGGAGAGGGCGATGAAGGCGCCGAAGGCGGCGCTACTAGCGATGTTGAGGCAGGAGAGGATCATGACAATTACTATCGGGAGCCAGACGGCGCGGACGGGGACGGAGTGTTTTCGGTCGATCTGTATTGGTAGTTTAGACAATGATGTTTGGAAAATAAAAATAAAAATAAAAATAAAAATAAAAATAAAGAAAGGAAGAAAAAGAAAAACTTGTTAGGGACTCCAGTTTATGGGGAGATAGCATGTAATAACTCACATGTGAAAACCAAGCCGGAAGCCCGCCATCGCGAGACCATGCCCAGGTAAGACGGGATGTCGATGCGATACTGGCAAGATTCACAGCAAGAGAGACGATAAGGAGACCACAAACCATCGCCGTGGCTGCACTGGTTGACCCGGTAGCTTGTTGACAAATTTGGATGATTGGCGAAGCCGCGGTGAGCGCCTCTTCTATCGAACCCATGGTGAATAGAATAGTCAGGATGATGGCGTAGGCAAAGATGCCGTTGATTGCAACGGTCCAGAACATAGATCTAGGCACGGCCTTTTTCGCACGGCGGACTTCTTCGCTCATATGGACAGCTCCATCAAAACCTTTTGAGCTTTGTCAGTAGGGTGAAGTAGTGTGAAATGAGGGCAAGACAGGGGGTTAAAATGGTTTATCATAAAAGAAATTGCACATAAGAAATCAGAAAACGGACCAACGAATCCCCAAGTAGGAGTCAACAAGCCCAGATTCCAAGATATGAATCCGTTACTCCACCCTGAAGTAGATTGTCCCTCTAGAAAGACGAATTTTGCAGAATGGCGGGAGCCCATCGCAACCAGGATAGAGACAAAGACAATGAACAGCGATACGTGCAAAATACCAGCCAGCAATTCGATCCAGGGGATAACCCAAAAGGCATACATATTCATCAAGCCCTCGAAAATGAGCATAGCAAAGATAAAAAGAGTCAGATGCCATCTTGCCGGGTGATAGTCCGGGTAATTGGTCGCCACAATCCCCTGGAGCATGTTCGCGGTGGTGTTTGCGACGCCGGCAAGCAGCGACACCCAGGCAAACCAAGTTATCCAACCTTGCATCCAGGTGATGAATCTTTTCTGACTAGGCGGGGCCAGATGGTGTGTCCAGTGGTATTGCGCACCGGCAATGGGCCGCATTGAGGCCATTTCCGCCAAAGAAGCAGATTGCGCGAGAGCTCCACAAACAACAACGATTATACCCCATGAAAGAGCTCGAGGGCCACCGTTTGTAAAGGAGCCTGTGAGATACCTTGCCAATTCAATTTTGGTCAGCCAGGTCAAGCAAGATATACATATCTACAACCGCGAAGTGAGAAATGTGATAAGGGGGCTGGCTGGCTGCTGCTGGGCTCGCAAAACGTACAATGCCATGGTCTCCCAGCTTGACATGAACGTAAGGGCGAAGAAGAAGATCTGGGTGAAATTAAAGAGTTTCTATTTTCCATTTTCAATGTTAGCAGTAGGAACTTTTGCGCATAGCCAGCCAAGTTAATCCCCCCTCAAAAGAGATTTAAAAAAAAGAAAAGAAAAGAAAAGAAAAGAAAAAAGAAAAGAAAAAGGTAAAAGGTAAAACGGATATGCTATACATACCTTTACTCTCACCTGGGCTCTAACAGTATCGCCAGCGGTTCTTGTCCTGGTCCTGGTCCGAGTAGAGAGGGGATATATACCGTCCTTGCGGCCATGCGAGGATTCCGATATCGAATCGCCATGGTCCTCAGGGGCCATGGTGGCATTCTTCTTGTTCGGGGGTTCCACTTCGTAATCCTCCATTTCTTGACACCTAGGGCACTTCAATTGGCCTACGAGAATGCTCTTGACAGTGTGTTTTATGCTTGCAAACTGAGTGGGATATCGGGAGCAGACAAATGATAACAGGACAGAGCCAGGCGCGCGTCTGCTACTAGGATTGACAGAAAGGCGTTGGCAGCATCACTCAGCTACTCAGATAACTCCCTCGTTGGCAACCGAGACACCTTCAATCGTGTGATTGTGTACCGTGGGAGCAATCTGGCATAATCGAGGTGTGTTATGTGCATGCAACGGGACAATAAAGAAATAAAAAAAGGCAGAACGAAGTCAAACAGGTACCGCCCTTGTGCGGCCCTCTGCAACACACGCACGCTGCCTGCTTGCTTGCAACCAAAGCAGCGCACAATCAAGATCTCGTCCTCGCCCTTGTCCACGTCCTTCGTCTCGGGTGGGATGGGATGAGATAGAGTGGGTGCACGGCTGCGGGGAGTTCTGAACGTGTCAGACAGCAGTCCTCGTGGGAGACAGAGACATTGCGCGGATACACGATATACGATGCATGGTACTTGGGGACGAGAACCGTCTGTCCCCATCAGAAACTTGTTGTTTAAACAAGAAAAAAAGGAAAACGTCCTGCTTGTTTGCCCTTCCCCCCCCCCCCCCTTTTGGGTGCTTTTTTCGGCTTTTTTCCCCATCCAGCTCCCACCCGACTGACCAGCAATCAAGCAACCAGGAAAACGTCATTATATTTTATTCTTTGGGCCTTGGCCAGAACCGCAAGGTCTCACCGCAATCACAAACAAAAGAAAAGTTTCGGGTCCGAGAGTTCTCTCCCAGCCTGTTTCCCGAGCGCAAAGGGATCATTTGAGGGCGCACAAGAAGAGCCACCACCAAGCAGCAGTTCCGACAATAATGTAGACCTCCATATCCCCCCCCATCCTATGGCTATCCAGAGCCCGGAAAAAGTGTGATGTGTGCGACAGCCCAGCTTTTCGGCCGTCCATTCAGCGCCCGCCGTCAAGCCTCAGAACCATGATTTCCCCTAGCTGCACACTGCTGATCCAGCTGGTGACCGAAAACCTCGACCGAGCGCCGTGTTCGCTGGACGAATGAGACCCGATGCGCGCGGTGTTATTTTCTTTTTTCCTTTCCCTTTTTTGTTTGGGGAAAGCGAGAGAGAGAGGTCCTCGCACGGGTACTCCGTACTGGCATACCTGTACCGGATGGTTCGGGCTGGGCTGGGTGATCTTCTTGGGCGTGGTGTTGGATGTGTGCTATGCTATTTATTGCGATGGGATGCTCGCTCCTAATAATAACCCCAAATACCGATCCCTTTTCTCGACGCCCAACCCGGTGGCACATCAGCCTTGTTGGTGCGATGATATATATATATATATATTATATATTCCCATATAATAAGACAACTCGTCTGTTGTGGGCTTTTGGAGATACTTAGAACTTCGTTCGCCCATGAGGCCATACTATCTCCGTTTACATTTCCCTAGCGTCCTAGCGTCGAGAACAGAGTCTCCACCTTGATGCTGATGGGTCGTTCGATATGGAGCAGCAAGAGGAGGTTCTTAGTCCGCCTTTCTTGAAAGTTACTCCTCACGACCATGCCGCCTGGGTTATCCTGTCCAGTTGTCTCCTCCTTATTCTGACCGTTATCGTGGTGCTCGTGACTCTGATATCGCGCGCAAGAGTTCTTCGCAAACTAGTATTATGTGACATGCTACTATCTTTAGCTACGGTTATTTTCCCCCAATTAGCCCACTCCTCCGAAGCACTTTTTTATTGACTTGCTCCTAGATACTGATGTTTGTCGAGACCATATGTATAAACTTTGCTTGCTCAAACGGCCTCGGTCGGCATCGCAACGTCCTGAGCGAGAAATTATTCCAGTCTTTCTCCAAGGTGTGTGCTGCGCTGCTCTACCTTTTTATTTTTATTTTTATTTTAATTGTATTTTATATTTTCTCTTACCGATTCTTGGATGGTTCAAGGCTTACTGGATGGAGATAGTTCTTCTACGCTAGCCAAATCCTTGCTCTCGCATCCCTAGCTTGTTCAAAAGCCGCCTTGACTTTACTGATTATTTACATCAAACCCCTGACTGCTGTCCTATATGCATGTCGCGGTCTCCTTGGAGCTATCGCAGCCTGGAGTATAGCTGGCGTCGTTGCTTTAGCAGCTCAATGCGACGCCCCACGGCCTTGGGATTTCAGTCAGGGAAGATGTGTAAACCAACAGGCTCTATACATTGGGCTTGGTGCGTTGAGCATTATCACCGACGTTGCTCTTGTCATCTTGCCGTTCTTTCTGGTATTTCAGGTCCAACTTCCCACCCGGAAACGACTAACGATCGTGAGCTTTTTCTGCATACGGATACTGTAAGGGAGCCCCAAAGAGATGCTCTCCCATGATGACTAGCCCCCCCCCTTTGCTTTGGCACCTACTTACATTTTTTATTTTTTTATTACTTGTTAGTGTCCCCATTTTCATGATATTCTGCTTAACGTCGCAAAACCAGTATTTTGACGCAAAGCCCCCCGACAAAACATGGCATGCTGTGCACCCTACAATCTGGGCCCAAGCAACGCTCAGCATATCAATAATTACAGCCTGCATCCCGAGCCTGAAACGTGTCATGGCAGACCTCCAAACAGGGCTGATGGCCGGCAGGGTGACTGAATTTTTGGAACTGTCCATTTCCGGCGGGTCATACTCTGCAACTGCTAGCCAGGCCAATAATTCAGGGATGAATACGACGGCGCAACCAAGGCAAACCTTGACAAATATATATGGCGTGGACACGATCGACGAAAATGGTGGCGAGGCCCTGCATGCTGGCGAGAAGAGGGGCAACAGAACTCGGAAAGGATACATGAATTCCATCCTGCGAGGGAGGGGCCGGGATCCAAAAAAAAATAATGATGATGATGGTCAAACCCTGAGCGGCGGAAGAGCCGAGAAAAACGTCGAGACGACAAAACAGGGCGAGCCAGGCGAAGAGGAAGAACATATTACAGCAGATCCCAACAATGCGATCGTGCAGACGATTGGGTATGAAGTGCGGTTTGATCAAGAGGTGGAACAAAGGGTGAGCAGTGACCAACTTTGTGGCGGTGCTGATCATCTGCATCATGCAGCTTCATCACAACAATAAACGTTAAATATTTAATGAATAAATACTCCGTATATGTCTCTGAACCCTGATTTTCGGATTGTGGCTCCTAGTTTTGTTTTTCTTTCTGAGAGTTCATATCTAGTTTCCCATTTCCGATTTTTTACGGCTCAGACGTGGACCCTCTGGGCAGACTATCTCTCTTTACTCTACCTTCGGCGAAGGGAGTATTGTCGCTCCGTTGCAGCTCTTGATTAGCATCCTTCGACTTCCAACAAATGCCATGGGCTACCGCCCCGCGAAGGCTGTGGACCTCTAGAGAGAAGCTTTAAACTTTAACAGCATCGACGTCGATCCGTAGATCCATAGAGAAAAAGCCGCTGGCGACGGTCAATAAGAGCCCCTTTCAACTTTCAAGGATCAAGTCTCTTATTCAGATCCAAGAGGATGTTTGCAGTCTTTCCAGGAAAGAGGGATCAGATCGACAACAGTCACACATTCTCGCGACAAAGAGAAAAACATATTATTTTACTTGTCTGTACTCTGAACGCAGCAGACAGGAAGGGGATTGTTTTGCTTTTTTGTTCAGCCAGGTTTGTTTTATCTGCTATTGTAGTTTCTTGAGCAAGCAGCTATCGGCGGTGAGTGCGGGCTGAAAGCGTGCATTATTGTCTCGTTCCAACGTATCAGCTGCGATAGGCCAAGATTATGGTTCTGCCTGGGAGGTTGCACATGAGATGCACGTCCTTAATCGCCGCTTGGTTGGTTGATGCACTCCATACATGTACATGAACTGTACTCTGTACAAGATGAGCGAAAGAGGGATACGTACAGCGAAGGGCGATTGTGAGAGGAATAGAAGAAAGAGGAAGTTGAGGCTTGTATTAACCGTGCCATGCTTACTCACTCTCTGTAGTGAGTGCGCCACAGCGTACGGAAAACCACACCATAAAGAAAATATTTTGAATATAGTAATCTTCAAAAATTAATTAATAATCACCACCACATCTATCTATAACATAAAGATTATCTATATACTCATTAGAAGGTGTAGAATCCACTGTAAGTTGAGATTCTATAGAATTATCTTGTTGTGGTTGAGTGGCTGTAGATTTTGTAGGTTTGATTCCAATTGATCAAAGAGTCTTATTGAACATCTTTTTCATCTCATCTGCTCTACAGGTCGCGATCTTGCAATTGGCATTCTTAATAGTGAGGACTCCACCTACTTGCACCTGCCTGCAGGAGGATTTGATGACCCGACATCTATTTGCTTGATAATGATCTGCAAGTTCACCCTCACAGTGCGCGTTCAATTCCGCCTGGACCATGCTACCCTTGAAGATCTTGTTCAACCGCCTTGTCAAACCAGGTGTAAGGGTATCCTTCACATCTTCTAAGGCCTTGGCTGCTGCATCAATTTGGTGATGTAGTTTTGCAACTGTCTCTGGGGAGGTTAATTGCAAGAAGACAGTTGATGGTTGATCTGCAGGTGGCGGGGTAAAGTGATCGCATACATCACCATCACCATCGTATATATTGAGATCCGGGGCATCATCAATGGTAAGAGGTCTCAATTGATTGAGAATTATATTGTGATTAACTGGATACATTCCACGGTCAGCAAAGCCAGCTCTCACAGTGCCAGGTTTGAATGCTTACAGTCAGATGCTCTCCAGATTAGCAAGGAATTGTTCACGGCAGCTTCAATATGCTCGATGATGAGTGAGCAAAAATTAATGTTCAATTGATGAATCCATATCTTAATTGCCTCTTCCTGGCTGTCATTCAATGCTTGATTCAGTGGAACTCTCATAGTCCTTGATTTCTTCCCATTGATCCTCCCATACAAGGTGGCATATGGGACTTTGAATTCTCGCGACAGAGATGTGATTTTTAATTTTGAATTGCTTTTATACACATCAACAGCTCTTTGCAACTGCTCCTCAGTGTAATTAGAAGATTTAGACATGGTTATAATTAATGATGATTATTTGAAGATGAAGAATGAAGATATTGAAAATATTTTCTTTATGGTGTGGTTTTCCGTACGCTGTGGCGCACTCACTACAGAGAGTGAGTAAGCATGGCACGGTTAGTTAGTTATTCCCAGTTAAGTTAGCGGGGTTAACACTTGACGATGCTTAGGTAAGCTCGACTTTCGACCTGTTGGGGGTCCCGGGGGTTGATCGGCCCTTCTACCAGCAGCGCTGGTGGTGACTGAGCTCTTTTGCCCCAGTAGCCTACAGGTTATGAGACCGTTGAGCGTGAGCCCCGCTGTGGTCAACATGCATGGGTTCAATCCCAGAATGGACTTAAGAAAATCTCAAAACAAATACCCCGGACATTTAACAGTGCCAAGAGACATCCTAGGAGTGAGCCCTTGAGCCCTAGGAGTGAGTCCAAAAAGAAAGACCGCTGAGAGAAGCCACTAAGAGGAGCCACTGAGAGGAGCCACTGTACTCTGTGGTTAGCTGGTCCGAGGGGGGGTGTTGGGGGTCCCGGGGGTTGATCGGCCCTTCTACCAGCAGCGCTGGTGGTGACTGAGCTCTTTTGCCCCAGTAGCCTACACGACCTTCCCACCCGTTCGATTCTCGTATATCAGCCCTCTCACCATCGCTGCGGGAGCTAATTCCAGCTTTAACTGGGATTTTTGGATCTACGAATGCGGCCACTGGCATTTAATGCAAAAAAACCTGATCGGAAAGCTAGTTACAGGTACTAGGGTGGCTTAAACAAACGTATCACTTCCAGGTCGGCTATCTCACGAGTTTTCTTTGAAGATGCGCCCCTGGAACGTGTCCAGAGTACAGAGTAACCATGGGCAAGGCTAATCATGTTCGTTCAGCATGATGTTCAGAGCATGGTTTTCTCCTCAAGCAAGCGTGGTTGTTTCGGAAACCAATAGCACCAAGCACCGATGATCGGATCTTGAGCCTCGAATGCGAATGCATCCGTCCGAGCCTGGCCTGAACCGTTATTTGGGATCTGCTATCTCACAGCCCCTGGTTCCTGTTGTGATAGCTGATCTGAGATGTGAACTCGCGGCTGGTTGTTATATTCTCTCCTTGACTCGTAGTTACGGCAAGGCCATGATCACCGGCTTGAAACAGATATCCTACGCTCTATTGACTCATCCTTCGATGTCCTTTCATTGACTGGACTTCAAACTTGGCTCGTAAGCGTGTTTGTCAATGTAGAATGCGCCTGTCCATAGCCTGTACATGTATGTACATGTAATGTACAGAGTGCACCCAGTTCAAATCCCGACCTGGCCTGTTGTTGAAGTGCCCATTATGGGAAACCCCCTGACTAGCACATGGCCATGACTCCGAATGTCCTTGCATCCCCTATGATTTGCTCCCGTGATAATCGAGGACAGTTGCAATTAGCCCCTTTCAACCAGTTTTGGAGGCAGCTGAAACATGAAAGCATACCATGAGGCTTTCTTCTCTTCTTGTTGTGGTTTCTAAGAGCGAGCATGGCTAATATATAGATTTATCATATATGTTTTTGCAGATATATTGTGCCCAAGCTACCGATAGAACAACCTACACTTCCAAGAACTTCAAATCGAATCGATACGCGGGGGATCCTCATCAAACTGCCAGACACTTGAGCTTTGAACTGATTGGGCGGGCACATTGCCCAATTGACTGACTATCTGCAGCAAACCCCTCGTCAGTTACGCCTCTTGCACCTACAAAGAAAACATCAACAGCTGCAGAAACACCAGCACCGTGGAGGTCCGCCTCTTGACCCCATTTTAAACTAGGGATATTCAAACTGCGATAAGACCCCACATCATGACCTCAGAGGCAAGTAAGGCACAGGGGGCACTCACCCAGAGAACGCTCCCGGCTTCATGGTACCATTCAGCGCGGCTCTACGAAGCGGAACGTCGTGCCATATTCTCTCAGAAATGGCTGCAGGTCACTCATGCAAACCGCTTCGTCAATCCAGGGGATTTTGCCCGCTACGAAATGGCTGGATATCCGTTTTTCATAATTAAAGATCGTACGGGCGAGTTGAGAGCGTTCCACAATGTCTGTCGGCATAGGGCCTTCCCCGTTGTAAAGGAAAAGTCTGGGAAGTGTAAGAAGATTCTTTCATGTGGATATCACGGTAAGTGTTAACGTGCTTTAAATTTACATCCTCCCTCCCCTTCTCCCCCCTCGTTCGCCGTGTCACTACGTGCAGGAATGACGGAAACTATATCCATTTCCCGCCTCTTAATCTACATATATATATCTACTGGACTGACAAATACAATCAAGGCTGGTCCTACGGCTTGAATGGCAAGCTGGCCAAAGCTCCCCGGTTCCAAGATCTGGCGGGGTTTAATGCAGAAGACTATTCTCTATTCCCTATTCACCTCCATGTCGACCGATGTGGATTCGTCTGGGTGAATCTAGACGCAAAAGAAGTTCCGTCCGTATCATGGGACGAGCAATGTGGGACAGCTGATGTTCAAGAAAGGCTTGGGGATTTCCAGATGGAGAAGTATTCGTATGACCATTCATGGAGTTTCGAGGCGGAATATAATTGGAAGGCTATGGTTGATAATTATAACGAGGTATGTGACAGGTAATTTTCACATACATGTCTGCCTCCCTCACCAGTTAAAAAGCAAATTGCGCCTCGCAAAAAGAAAAAAAAAATAAAAAAAAATATCAAAACTCACAAACCAACCCACCAGTGCTACCACTGCCCCGTCGCCCACCCGGGCATCGCAGCAACAACTGACCTACAAAACTACACCGTAACCACCGACCAAGGCTTCATCGCCCACTTCGCCCGCCCAAAACCCGAATACGCAACCGGCAACAACTCAAACGTCGCCCCAACCTACCTCTTCCCCAGCTCCGCCGTCACGGTCAACACCGTCTACCTCTACCTCACCCGCTGCGTGCCCCTGAGCGCCACGAGCGTGCGCATGGAGTACGAAGTGTACCGCCACGCGCAGTGCACGGACGAGGAGTTCGCGGAGGTGGACGCGTTCATGAAGCAGATCGAGGAGGAGGATCGGGTACTGTGCACGCTGGTGCAGGAGAATTTAAATGTAGGTGTGTATCGGAGCGGGCCGTTGCATCCAAGGGATGAGATGGGGGTGGCGTATGTCAAGGAGCTGGTTAAGAGAGCTGTTATGGCACATGTGCAGATGGAGAAGGAGGTTGGGCATGAGGTATGGCCCGCTACGGCGAGGGGTGGGGATGGAAAGCTGGGGGGTACGCTGGATGCGGAGACCGAGGAGGAGGAGGTTTGTAAGGCCCTGTGCAGTGGTGGGGCTTTGGAGAAGTTGTCTTGGTGAAAGAGAGGTGGAGTGTTACATTACGACGCTTATTAGTTCAGGAAGGCATAATTGGGGATTCTTTCGCGGTTGATCCCTGGATGAGTGAAATGTCTATCTATTACCGGGGAATATTTAAAACGAGGAAATTGAGATGCATAACTGAATGGCCGAATTTGCTTGAGCTCAGAGTGATTTATTTATCGATAGAAAGTACTATTCTCCTTCTCTCTCTCTCTCTCTCTCTCTCTAAGATATATATAACAAGGCTGCCTGCAGCCGGTGAGTCGGTAGTTGGTCCCCCAACCAACCATATCTACAGATATCAGCAACCAAATACAGTTTCCTCGCCTAGGTTGCTGGATACGCTCTCATGCAAATGAGTCATGATAAATGCGAAAGCCACCACAATGTCTTTTCTTCTCACCACTTCCTGATCTGTCTTGCTGGAGGATGTCGAACTTTTCTGTCTAAGCGCTTATCCATTCCGTCCATGCCATGCCCGAATCGAATCCATCACATCCCATCACACACCCACCCCACCTACCTTCCATCCAACCGCCCAGCGCTCTACCACTTGCGAACAATAAGGTAAACGCCTCCCCCGCAAAACTCTATTCGACCCGGGCGGTTACCACCCAGACAGAAACAAACACACACACCTCCCCCTGATTGGCCACCGTTAGCGCGAGCCTGGTTCTTCCCTTGGCATCTTAAACTTCCCCAGCGGTCCGGTCCAGGGAAACATCTGCGGTCCCAAGGTTCCATGGATCGCCCCCACCCCCGGGGGGCTCGGGGGCCCGCGGGAACAACCAGTCCACGGGCAGTGGTTCGCGCGGCTAATGGGGATGGTTGATTGGGTAGCTAGCTCTAGAAGGAATGAAGAAAGGGTTTCTTTTCGGTGGAGCTGGAGCTGGAGCCGGAGGCGGGGTCACAAGACACTAAAACTACTCTTTTATCGCATAATGTGCCGGGCTTCTGCATGCATGAGAGGTGTTACCAGAGCGGGGGGAATTCGAGGCGGGGTAGATGGGCAGTAAAACTACAATAATCTCAAGGCTGACATACTTTATTAGTATTGGGTAATTAATAGTAATGGAGTCAACACGGATTTCGTTATGGTATTAATAATGTGTATTACAGACAAGTATATTCGGGAAGTATGCGTATTGCTTGCTCTCCAAAAGAAATTCAAAGGGCAATACCCACTACCTAGGTAGATAAAATGTGTAAAAGTGGTGTATGTATGAATGTATATATGTGTGTATGTATGTATATGTATGTAAGGTATATGTAGATCGAGCACAGGCGGACACGTAGAGAGAGACAGACAAGCCAGGCTAAAAAACATGTATGTAAAAATAAAAGAATAGACACAAAATAAATTGTAAATAACGTCAAAAAATAATTAAATAGAAAAAGGAGAGGAACCAAAACAGGAGTGGTATCATCAAAGGAAATGGAACAGCAGCAAGAATGAAAGAAACGAAACATGGACGAACTCTTTTAACAGCGAAAAAGCAAAGAGCTGAAAGAATGAGTCAAATAAATGACAAAAGCCCAATCCACATACAAAAGACACTTTACTTGAAGATATATGAGACAGCCAACAGCACAGCACAGCACAAACACACAAGGACAGATAACCGGCCCCAGTCCCAACCCAGTTAGCCGAGGATAAGGTTCCTAAGAAATGAAGGATTGAATAGCGAGTGGGTAGGAAAATAAAGTAAAACTGTTGAGCTGGGGGCTGAAACGGAACGATGACGGCAGATGATGCCGTCGAAAAAGGGGATGTTGTCCCCGCCACTAACTAGCACTCAGAACAAAAACAAAATTAGGCTCATAACCGAAAATGGGAAGTAAAAACGGGCTGAAAGGTACAACACGCAATGCGATGCGGCGCGGTGAAGATCCCTGGCGCCGGAGCGATGGAAAGGCAATAGCTTGAAGCGAGACACCCTGGCGGGTTCGCGTACGGACAATAATTGTGATTTTCGCGGGGAGGGGAGGAATATAATGAAGGTTTGTTTTGCCGGCGAGGCATTGAAGGATACGATAAGAGTGGACGAGGAGGGGGGCGAGTGGTGAGGGGAAATAAAAAAAGGAACAGAAATGATACTCGGTATGGAGGTTGGTGGAACGCAGGAGGGCGGTAAGGGAAGGAACTTGTTTTTTAAAACGTGTCGTATGCAACTTCTCTTCCATTTACCCCTGGAAACTGATGCCGGAGGGGCAGCTGGTTTCCCGTGTCGATTTGATCGTTTGATAAACCTGCCCATTCCTTCAAAATTCCACCAGCGACTCCGTTTCAACTCATCCCGACTCCTGACACATACTTATCCACTTCCAATTTTCTATAACACGCAGATAGAACACTGTAAAAAATGTCGAAAAAATTTCCAAAAAAAGGATCTGTGATCTTAAAACGCGGTCGGACGACGCAAAATCTCGTCACAGTTAGCGTCGAAACGCATATCCCACAGCCGAATACTGTTCATCAACTTCTCCGTATTCTCCAACTCGCGATCACGACCAAAGATCGAATCGACAAACTCGCAACCCGCGTTCCGGCCCATCATGACAGGCCCACCCTTGCCGCTCTCCCGCTTCGCAGCCTTCCACATGAAATGTTCACACGCCTTCAGAAGCTTCTCGAACCGATGCCAGAGCCGCTCGCCGCTTTCCAAAAAGTCCTCCACCATCTCCCGCGCTTCCGTATTGCGAATGCGCGGCCCACATTCCTGCGCTCGTTTTACTTTGCCAGCCAACTTGATGAGGAGAAGCCACAAATCGCCCGCGACATCGGCCATTGGCGCAGAGGCTCCGTGGTGGAACACTGTCCAGTCGTAGATCCACTTGCCGAGGGAATTGGCATCGAAAACGCTGCCGAGCAGGAGGATAGGTTCTTCGTTGGGATCCCAGTTCTTTATCGAATAGCCTTCAGGAATACCCATACGGATGGCGTCTGCTTCAGTAGCTTTGGCGTGTTTCGATGCACCTGCGGCAGTGGAGGGTTTGGGTTTTTGCGGAGTGCGGGCGGAGGTAGAGGCGCGACGAGCACGAGAGCGTTTGGGAGAGTCTGCTTCATCATAGACCGGAATCTGGTTGTAGTAGAAAGACTGATCAGTGGTTGGCTTTGCCTTACGATAAAAATAATATTCAGCTGCACTCCGCCCAGCAGCCGACATTCTGGGTTCAGCAAAACGACGACTGCTAGCGCCACCGTCCCATGCACTGTGAGGCACATAGGGAGGAGGCACGTAAGACGAGGAGTGCGGCGTATCGAAAGCATCGTCAACCACATCCATGAAGAAGGGTCGTTTCTGCGATCGCCACGGAGAGGTGGGATGGTAGAAAGGTTCTCCAGTTGGCATGGAGGCGCGGCGACGCGCTGGCCTGCTGGTCGCACCGAAGTGGCTTTCGCCATAAGCACCACTTACATTTTCGTGCTTTCGCGGAGGCGAGGAATAACCGTGTACTGAATCATAGTAACTCCCATACCCAGGTGGCATCGAATGCCAACCACTTGACGGTTCCTTCGCAGCAGAATAACTAGCCCGATGAGAGTGTCGTTTGGTACGAGGAGAGACGTGCGGCGAGGCGTAGTTCGAAGGGTAATAGGGGTATTGCGGAGGTGAAGTAGTTGCGTAGTCGTAGGTAGACCACCCATGGGGTGGTTGAGGGGGATATTGATACATTATCGATAGACGGGCATAGAGACACCGAGAAAATCAACCGCGCCGGAGAAATTCAGAAAAAAAAAAAAAAAAAAAAAAAAAAAAAAAAAAAAAAAAAAAAAAAAAAAAAAAAAAAAACAGATTTAACTCCTTTTTTTTCTTTAGAACGGTTTAAATGGCGAGCAGAGGAAAGTATAAAAAAAAAGACAAAGAGGAGAAACAAAGAAAAAAAAGATAAGTATATTGTACAGGATATCGCTCCTACAAAAATGACAACCAAGGGACAAAAATAGGGATATATAAAAGGGGGAAAAGGGAGATATAAAGATGCCCGTCACCGCGGTGAGGTATCTAGAGGAGGCAAGAGAAAGAGATTTGACTGATCTTGCCCGTCGTGCATTTGAGCTCTGGCAACGACTCCTGGTCGAACAAGCGAGGAGGAGAGAAGAGAGTGAGAAGAAAAGAAGGGGAGGATCCAAAACACAACAGAACTCGCCACCACCACAAGAGAATCCGGGGTTTCGGGATGGGGTGGAGCTGAACAATTCAGGATAACCGTCAGACGAGGTTGCCAGTCAGTTCTGCTCTTCTCGGGACGGGGAGATGGATAGATGGCGAGGAATGGATTATGTGAAGTTAAAGAAGGAGAAAAAAGGAACAAGCGAAAGGCCAGAGTAAGAGAAAGAAGAAGAAGAAGAGGAGGAGGAGGAGGAGGAGGAGGAGGTTGGGGCGAAGAAAAACAGCAGGTATTATTTATTTGTATTTAATATGACTTCCAGGCGGGGGCGGGCCAAACCGAGAAATATATGTGTTGTGTGTGTGTGTGTGTGTGTCATGTACGGTACGGTATGTACGGGCTTGATCACAGATACGATACGGCAAGCGAGCAAGCAACTCATTATTATTATTGTTTTTGGGCAGTATTACGCCCGCAATAATATCTACCCATCTCCCATGTTCCCATACACCATACATACCGAAGTACAGTACAGTACAACTAAGGTGGCTTTCGTCCCGCCAAAGCGTGGAGTTTAGACGGCCACGATGTGCGGCCCGTAACAGGCACGTCTCGCCCTGATTGGCCCTGGGCGGCGTAGGTGCCCCAGTCCTTGGCATTCATCCCTTCAGGGCTGCGCACGACCAGCCCCAGCCGCCGATGATAGATACGATGGCTGCTTCTTGACCCATACCATACCATACGCCAGCTGTATTATTGGGCAGGGAAGTCGTCCTGTAATCTGTAATATTACATATACACGTACCTGGGCATTATTATATGATTGTCCAAGTATCAATCGCTGTGACGGCCGGTTTCGTATCCGTATTACTAGGTCCGCTGCCAGTGACACACACACACACGGCTTCTTCCTTCCCTCTTCAACCCCTCCATTTTTTATTAAATATTAATTAATTATTCGTTCAACCCGCAAACAAGCTCCATCAAACGAAATATCAGAGACTGCTCAAGAGCCTAACATAATTTATTCATCCTCAGAGAAGGTCTCGGATCCTTGCGCTTGAATTCCAGCAGAAAGCCAACGGAAGAATATTCTGCCGTTTCTTCCCATGGATCCTGGATGTCATTATTGAACATGCTGCATGGCAAACGCTGGAAGCTCGCGGAAATCGCTTAATTAGTTTAACTATCCATCCTTAAGCTACTTATACGTATTATTATTTTATTTATTCATCAATGCGTTGCGTCGCAAGGCTTTTGGGTCATACTCAGGAGCAATGACGTTCCTAAACTCCAGCCCGGGTTTATTCTTATCATCGCTATGAGAGGGAAAGGGGAAATATCCGCCGATGAATGGATACATGGATGGCTGGGCTGTTGCACTGAAGCACAAAACATGACTCAACCCCCTCTGCAGCTGAAATATGTTTGATGGATGGATGGATTAATGATTTTTTAAAGAACTACGGAGTACTACCCTACCAATATCACAGGAAACGAACAAAGCACAATTTTTCAAAATTTGTACAGCGCGACTTAAGCATCAGGCAGCAGTGTCATTATTTCTCAAGCCATCACCAGGATCTCTCTTCATCTGGCGACGGTTTTATATTTTTGCCCCATCACATCCCATCATCATCATCATCGTCATCGTCATCATCATCATCATCCTCCTCCTCACCACGCCCTGGTTGTCATGTCGCGTCCTGTTTTGATAGCTGCCTGGAGGGAGAAACGTGTACCAACAACTGAAGTGCGGTATTTTAGCGGATAAGACCAATTCAAGTTCACGAGAATCATAATCAGCGTATCCTGGAAAACTATCCATCGATCCAAAGCATGCCACTACCTACAAAACAGCAGCCGCTCCCGGAGCCCTTCTAGCATGCGCCTCCCGTCTGGTCGCGCTAGAGATTTCAGCGATGCCCCTCCCTCCAGAACATTCTCCGCCGGCCTAGTGTCGGGGCGAAAATTAAAAGATTCCACGAACGGGGGAGCCCATCATTTGGTCTGTCATTTGTTTTACTCCGTCATATCATCACCACATGCGAAAGGGAATGAGAAGGAAAGGGAATAACATTCATCCAATCTTCACCGTCCTCAAAAGATAAATAATTAACTCACGGACTCCACAGGAAATCCATGGATACCATCCCGGGAGTCCCGCAACTCTATGATTTAACCTTCGACTCTGCGGAGTGCATCTATGGTTTTGAATACTCTTAACTCTAATTCCACGATGGCTGAAATGGTCCTTTCAAAAACGGGGAAAAGTTCCCTGCGGAGATATGCGCGGCAAATGTAATGCCCGGATTTAAAGCAAATCCAAAAAAAAAAAAAAAAACCCTTTGTAGAATATTTTTTTTTTCGATCTGAACTGAGTCCTATGGTTTAAATGGATCACCAACCACGAAAAAGTGCAATCTGCAAGTTACACTCTCTCGTCAGTGCAGGGCGCAAGGGCAACAAGGCTGGAATCATCGCGCTGCCAATGGAGTGGTGAGGTCGTATGGTCTCCTACGACGTGTGTGGCCGCCCTGGAGGGGGGATCATATTAAACCCCTGCCCACATGGCGTTTACTGCAATAGCATAGCATGACGCACATATCAGAAAGTGGGGGGAGAGTGGTGGTTCGACCAAATCGCTGCGTCGCCGGATCGCTGCAATTCCCCAGGTCAAACCTCGCACCGAGGCCTTTCCGTACCAACCGGGATTGGGAGGAATGATATACTTGCACATGTACAGGTACGGAGTAGTTACTGGCCTCTTATGTCTACGAACAGTAGATCATGATCATCAGCTTGTTCCTCCTGGCTAGAATCTCCGCCGGCAGGCAAAAAGAGGTGCCCCCTTATTATTCCAGAAGGTACAGTACATACATCTACATAATTAGCACGTATATCGAAATCCATTCCGGCTGTACGACGACCGACCGAGCGTGCTGCGGTGCGCCGGTGCCAGGTTGCAGAGCGTTGTGCCCGGCTTCATCCTAGATGACTGCTCCGTATTTTCTGTGCCCGTTTCGGCAATTAGAGCAGATTTTGCGCTGAATCCGTTACTTAATATTAGGACATTATATTTTAACTAACGTGAATGTAGGCTATTTTATATAACCCCCAACTACGAAGTACATGTCATCATTATTCTTGTTTACCCCATGATTCTTCCTCGAGTGTGTTGCTTGTCGGGAGGGAGGTAGCCCCTTGTTCTTAGTCGCTCGCCCACGGAACCCACCCGTTATAACGGCGCCGCTAGCTGAACTCGGCGGAAATTCCACCACCCGCAATTCCAGAAAGCTCGCCATATATACACGAAATACATCGGGGCCGCGGGGGCGACGAGATTGATACGCGGAGTTTATTTAGCGCGTTAACTTATCCTCCGCGAAGTTTGCGGGTAGGACCTTTCTTGGAAGGGCGATTAATAAACCACCCGGCATAGTTAAATAGAACGTGCTTTAAATACTTCTTTTCCACTCCCGTTGTAGTTATAGTTAAAGGCTAAAAGCCACGAATTCCTAACCGTATGGATGCCTTTGTCCGCTGTTCAGACGAAACAACAGACTGTTATTGCACTGTACACACTTTCCCACTTCAGCTGAAGGGTTTATACGACGTTGGCCCCATTGCCTCCCTGATTATACCCTGATCCTTAATGATTGTTTAATGCAATGTTTCTGCGGGGGAAAAAAAAAGGAAGTGTGCTAAATATAGAAACATAAAACAGATAGCTTGAACTAGGAACTCTTGTGTCTCCTCTGCCGGGCTGTGTCGTTGCATCTGATTCTCTGATTCCCTCAGCACGGGGAGTAGTGTCCGGTTACTAACGCCCCTGTGTTGGAGTCTGTCGGCCTGCTGCCCTGGTGAAGAACTAAATCTGTTCTGCCCTCGATGGATTACAAGCCTTTTTTTTTTTTCTGTTTTGTTCTCTCCAACATATCTAACTTGCCTGCTGATGGATATCAAACTAAACGCTAACTGGGTGTCAAATTAGTTGCGGCCATGTTTTGATCGCCCCCCAAAATGTGGCATACTTCCAACTGAGTTTAAAACAAGGCAAAGATATTGGGGATAGGACGAAGGGGGGGAGGAGGAGGAGGAGGAGGAGGAGGAGGAGGAGGAGAGGGGGGTGTACAGACGTTGGTCCGATCTTCAATGCTGTTGAGGCTTTTGTTTGAGTTATTTTTTTCTTGTCATACATCTATCCAGCAGTAACTCTACGCACTACGGAGTACAATGAACGTTGACAGTTTCTTCTGCTCAGCCTTATTCTTCCTCTACCCTGTCATACACCCCATGGCCAATCCATACCAGAAGAAAACAAAAAAAGACGAATGGACACTGGGGGTGTTGGGCGAGAGTTGGGTCCAACTACGACTCCGCTCCTCAGCTTGTTTCGATAATATAACATTGTTACTCCAACAAGGGAAGCCCAACGTCATTTCTTTCAGTCATCATGGAACCGTCTCTTTCATCAGTCGGTAACTTTGTTCACAATGTGCAGCTCAATGATAGAGCCTTCTGCTCAAATTAGGCGCTGCTCGTGTTTTCCATTAGGCAGTTTCCAATCATGACGGGAGCTGTTGTGGGTGGGCTAATTGTTGATTCATCATTGTCACTGTCACTGTCACTGTGACTTTGGCTGTGACCACATGATGATTTGTGATGGCTGGTTCTGGGATCTAGAGGCGGTCCTCAGACGGGAAGATATCCAAACCAGGGAACACGGCAAAGGGGTGGTTGGTTGGGGGTTGAAGAAGCCGGTTTGTTGGATCGGGTAATTCATGTCATAACAGCCCAACGGTATGATTCATCGGGCAATAAGGGTGAAGAAAGGCAACCGTTTCTTCGATGGAACTTTGTAGAGCCTCAATATCGGTTTCTCCAAGAAGGGAGATGAGATGGAAGTAGACCGAGCGGGTGTATCCATAAATGGATAGAATAAGATAGTGGGCATTTCTTAAATGCTTCATCGTCTGTTATTATTTCCACAAGCCAATAGAAGGGAGGAGACGAGGCATGGATAATCTGCCTGTATTATTGTTGAATATCTTGTTCCGTATCAACTTTCCATTTTCTCGCTGAACGCATTTTACCGGCTGATGAAGAAGAGGGAGGAGAAGGACTCTGGAGGCCATGTGAACAGGTTCATACCCGGAGAGCCCTAGACAATGCCTGAACATTGGCAAGATTGATACATCGGGCGTTCTGACTTGAAGAAGGGATGGGTTTATGCGGTCGTGATTAAAATAACCCAATAACCCAATAAATACGCAGCCACACACTTTAAAACATGTCGCGATATTCGCCACCCAACTCAACTCCAACTATTCCTCTCCCAACTGACTTGCAACAACACCAGTTACGCCCCGACATATGGTTGCCTTACTTTTTCTATTACTTCTTTAAAGTTATTAGACCTAACATAGTTACTCCGTACGAGCGAGGCACTTTTTTCTTACTTTCTTCTTTTCTTTCTCTTCAGGTATCCAAGCTTTTACCATTCATTCGGACAAAGCCACAGATAGCAGGCCAGGCATAGAAAAGAGTAGGAAACACACACAGTTGCCTTGTGCCTCTCCTTCGTCCATTCTTACTCGGCGTGACTCATACCAGCTCAAGCCCAAGCGCGGATTGGAGCGTATTCCCGTCTCTCTACATGTTTAACGAGTGGAACGGTATTTCTTCTGATGAAACATCAGAATGTTGCAATGATTGGGAACGAGGGCTCATTACTGCAAAACGTCTTCACAGGACAAGCGAGACGCATTTCCCCTTCATCGAGGGTTGAGGTCGAGGAGAGATAGATAATAGGTCGAGGAGGTCAACTTTTGTGAATCGAAGAGAGCATAGTTTCTAGGCTCCCGCGCCCAATCACATCAACCATCTCAGCAGCGAAAATATTTAAACGCCACTGCTAGGAAGCAAAAAGCACGAATGACAATGTATCTTGCACTCCTCATCGAAAATAACAACGGTAGCAAATATATTACATATATTCCTGCTGTATTGTAATATCAGACTGACTGAAAATTCATGCTGAAGAAATAAAAAAGTAAATATAAGCATTGCAGCCCAGCATGACTTGACAAAAACAATGGTAGCCTTATTGGGCAGCAATCCACCTTTGTGGGGAAGATAAGAAAAGACAACAAGGCCGAAAGAAAGCCTGCTACCAACCAGCCCTTCAGATTATAGATTCTGAATTACTGTAGCAATAGTAGCAAAATAAATAGAAGAAAAGCGGGGGAGGAGAGGAAGTGATGATTTTTTTTTTTTCCCCTAATTTTATCCAGGGAGGAATTCGAAAAGCTGTTGAGCAAATCTTGTTGGGCAGACCGACCGAAGTTTCGAAATGATGGAAATTTGAGGGCATCAGGTAGAAAAGTCGAGGCCTCCTTGTAAAAGACGGTGAGAGTGCATGATGATTGAAATGGGATGAACTGGACTTTGATACAACATAGACAGAAGCTAGGGGAGAGAAAGTGAGTTTGGAATATGCGCATTTTGTACAGCTGAAAGGGGGGAAAGGGACAAAAGACAAATGGATAAGTAGTAGCATCTGTACGGAGGAGTACTCCGTACTTCGCACAGAGTTTACTTCGCACAGAGTTTGAATATAAGACTCGAGATGATGAGGAGGAGGACTTGGAGAGACTTCGACGAGAGTTCTAGGTAACTTTCGGTTGGTTGCAGTTGTTCGGTAACTATGGTATCCATGGATGTATCTTTCACATAACACAATCACTAACTATGTTAGCAGCTAGCATACTCCGTAGTACCGTATCTTGAGATGAATTTTTCCTCGATCTGAACTAGGAACAGAAATCCATCTCTCTCATAGGCCCCATGGCCCAATCTCAGATACCGGCGATATTGGCCACAGAGCACATGTTTCTGCTCGCCTATGGTTGGAGAAATGGTAACTACTGTGCTTTCTGTGGCCTTCGAGCAGCCAGAGCTGAACCATTTACAACTTCTCCCCCCCGGGTCTGCGCAAATCATCATGCTCACCTCGAAGCTGAGATATTGGAATAATATATACCAACGGTCTTAAGTTATTGAACTCAAGGGCATGTCTAGCCGTCCGTCCAACTTAGCACACACGGCCTATCCAGGATGCCGGGCTCAAGAGTGCAACCCTCGACTCGACTTGGGATTCGTTTCTGCTTGGTGCGATTGTGCGATGGCTGTATTGTTGTAACAATACCAGAATACGTAAGTTACATACATCAATATACGCTGTATGAAACCGAGGTGTAAATTATACAACATTACATCAAGAAATCAGGTATTTTATGATTTCCTAATCTTCACAATTGTTGATCGCCTTTTTATGTTGGGTATCTGCGCAGCGCAGAACAAAAAAGGAAAAAGGAAGAATAATAATATGCTGGAGCTCGAGGCTGCATGAAGGAAGAAGATTTGGTGGGCACCTACAGCGTATGTGTGTACTTGGATTTATTCCCTTTTGTCTCCTGTCCTGGCCTTTTATCTAACATCAGAGTTTTCCAGGGCATACAGCGTACATACCTTTCGTTCAACGGGAAGTGTGGGCAACAGGGTTTAACAACACCACCATCACCCGTCAGAGGGAGAGTACCGCAATAATAATAATAATAGGAGCAGCTGTCACCAAATATCGGAGCAGGGAGGACTGTGGAAAAGGCACATCATCCGCGCCCACTACTACAAAGTGCTCCATCCAAGGCGCATGGAAGGATGGCGGCGGGAACGCTTCCAACATCCACACCACCCACGACCCTGCGCAGATGCCCATGGCTAACAGAACGGCGCATTTTGGCTTCGGCGGGTTTTGGATCCAGTCCCGGCCCAGACCAACGGGCGGCGAACCCTGCAAACCTTCACAGTCCATGTGCAAATTATGCTTTTATAGCTAGCGTCTGGGGCCAGCTCAGCGAATGTTTCTGTGGAAGGTCTCCGTCGCCGCCGTTCTGCGATTCTTCCTTCGAAGGGAAGGAATGAGGGAAGATGGAAACGTCAAGACACCATGTATCATGTATCATGTACGTGGGTTTGTTATTATCTGTCTACATGCATGATGTGGGGAGTATTCTTCTTTCCCCCTCGATTAATTATTGTTCCCTTTTTCTCAAACGAAGTGTGGCTTCATCACATCCTGGGCCAATAACTAACAAATATACCAAACCCCGGCTCCAAACTGATCTGGCTTTTCTTTGTAGCGCGCATAAAAGGGTGGATATTATACGGGATTACATATAATCAAATCACATCAAAGAGAAACAAATAAAGAAGAAAGAAAAAGCACTGCAAAGGCCCCCCCCCGAACGAACAATAATAATAACCCTGATTTGCCGCGAAGACAAGGAGAGAAGGATGTGCCCATGCATCCCATCCACTGACCGCACCTCTCGCTTTCTTTGCTTTTTTTCTTTGACCCCTGCCTGAGGCTGCGGATTCCCATTTGGCGCGATGCAACGAACCCATTTTGGCGCCCATCTGTTTTCTTTCCTCCGTATTTCGGGGGGAGCTAAATAATTGCTTTTTTTTTTTAAAAAAAAAAAAGAAATTCCCTTTCCTTTTTTCGCTCCTCGAATTTCGCTATTATTATTATCTATTACTCTGTGTGTGTGTGGGTGTCGCTAGCTAGGGCTTGCTTTCCTGTTTGTAACCCTAATCTGATTCGATCAGATATGGCTGCCCCTCACTGACCGCTCTCTGCAGACTGTGCTTAGAATTCATCATGTTCAACGCAGTTCTCCGTGCGCGGCGCGTTTGTGCTTTGAAAACTTCTGCAGCCTGCAGAGACCAAAGCACACATTTTAAGCGCGCTCTACTAAAATATTATTCGCACCAGTATCTTCCTAACTAGGGATTAAGTTATGCGATGCGCATGGCCTAAGGGAGGCTCGGCCACTTCCGCTGCGAACCGAACCGGTGTCGTGCAGCCGCTGGTCGCGGTGGAGAAAAAGAACCAACCAACCTAAAAACTATTTTGGGTGTGATGGAGAGCCAACGAGGTGGCAATTGACAGTTCATCAAAATAATCATCATCACCAAGAAATAAAATAGCGTTGGAAATTCAGCAAGGATGGATGGATGGATGGATGGATGGATGTCCACAGGCGGCTTAGACTAAACCGGAGCGGGGGACCACATCCATCGCATTCCAGTTCATCTGATGTGGAATTATTGTTATTGAGGAGGGAAAAAAGGGAAATATCAGCGATTTTGACCAGGCTAGGGGCTAGGGCTGGCTGTCCGATTTTGATTCTGGTCGGCTGACCCTTCTCTTCTGCAACCGTTCACCACCCTCATCTGAAATACGTATGCAAGGGCGTGGGCAAGGCAGGCTATAGGAGATTAATCTGCTACACCATCACCGACGCGCTGGTGGCTAGCTTTTGTTCGTGAAGACATGGATGGGATGGGGCTTCCATCCTGGAATCATTGACTATTGATGTTCTGTCGATTCATTCATTGATTCATTTAATTGAGACGTCGGATGAGTTTACGTCCTCATCCTCTCTTGGCGTGTTTTCACTTAAATTACCCCGCCATGGTATCTGTGTTTCGTCTTCGCATGACCTCTTGGAGTGGTTTCGATCCGCTATGGAGGGGAGGGGTTGATATTGCGTCATAGTTCACTAACTACACAGTAGTTACGAAATCTATGCTCTTTGATTAGCAGGTTGATGATCTGTAAGATTCTGGACAACCAGTTCCGCTTTTATTACTTTTGGTTACTTAGCATGATTATTTCTAGTGGTAGCTAGACAGTTTTCTCTCGTTTTCAAAGGCTGGTTGTCGTTTTCGGAAAGAAAATGAAAAAAAGAAAGGTACATGTACATGTACAAACAAGGTATGGAAGCAACTCTACTATCCCTCAGCTATGATCAAGCTTTGCATGGTACTACATGAATTGTTTACTAATGTCTAACTACATGTATTTATATCCCATCTAAAATTCCCATTGACTTCCTCAATCACTCTCACTCCCCATTCAAAATAACCCATGCTTATCATACTACGTATGGAGTGCCAAACGTCGTGTTGTAATTAACTGCTCTTCCCCGGTGGCCTGGAAACCTATCGTGTCTCCCTAGTTCCTCATCACGGAGGTCGGTCGAGCGGTAAGAGGTATCCCGACTCTTCGAAGTTGTTGCACGCGGACGGAGGGCGGAGTTAAGATATATCATCATGCCTGCCGATAAACCTGCCCGTCGATACATCTTTGATATCGATATTTGCCGTGGAATGGCGCAAGGTGTGTCGCGTGCTGATACCAGTTCACTTAAACATTATCAGACAATGTCCGGTGAGATGGAAACTTGTGTCCGAAGAGGGTTCGACAGACCTTGCCTGGAGGCTGGGTGTCTCCATGTGCGGAAAAGCCTACTCGAAACCACATCCATGCACCACGGCATCGCCATATCTATTGATCACAATAACCCTATAAAATTAAAGAATACGAGAATAATATGAATTCGTCCATATCCCACGCGTTCACGATACTGAGGCTGTTGGATTTTACTGCACTTTCACCTGGGCCTGCTTCCAGAAAAGCCAAATAGCCGATATGGCTAATTTGCACCCCGCGACAATCCACAGAGCGGGCGAAATCCTCCCTGTGCTTTTGGCAAGGAAACCTCCAACGACTGCACCCCCAACAACGCCAATGATGGAGGTAATGCGCTGGTTGCGCGCTTTGTTCGTGGTCAATGGCTTCAAGATCCCTGGCTCAGACCCCAGGTCATAGTAAACGCTTGTCAAGACTGTTGTTGGGAGCTCGGGGAAGGCCAGTAGCCTGCTTACTGCCATTTGGCCCGCGGATTGGAAGGCGAGTAAGGCTATTGGGATAAGTTTAAGGAAAGCATCGTTGTCAGTAGCCACGCCAGAATCTTCGATTGCACCTGACTGCAACAGGGCTGCTGCAACGCTGACGAGGAGAGTCTGAGAGCCGAAATTGACGAGTAGAGTACGTCTGGTTTGGTGTCCAAAGTATCGGGTTTTGGGAAATACTACACTTCCCAAGAAGAAAGAGAAAATTGAAACTAAGCCCTTAAGCCAATGGTATGTCGTTTGATCGAGGGTGTCGGATGCTCCCAATCCCATGAAGACGGTGTTTCCTGAGAGTTATGGTGATGTCAACATTGGAAACGACTCGTTTTCTATAAAATCCAACATAACAAACATATGTGGATAGTAAAAAAAAAAAGGACTTACCCGTCTGCATGCTAACAAAGCAACCCCAGGCTTTGTAGGCAGAGCTGTCGCTAAGACCTGATAGGAAATAGCAGACTAGAAATATTAGATTTGCATGTTCCGTATTGATGTCCTGAGCTAAATAGCGCAGGATCGACGGTCTCGAATCTGTATCGACATGTAGTGGTTGCGGGTTTGCTTCCACATCTCTGAGCTCTTCACCATTTGCAGCCTGAGACAAGGTTTCTGAGTGTGGATTGCCTGCCATTGTGATATGTGTGTTATGTTCGGTTATACAACACGACACGACTATCCTGAGGTCCTCCCAGCAACCCAATTTGAAAAGGGCTAAAGGTCTACCCGATAATTATTTTGTGTATAGGCAGGCCCCTGTGTGTTTGACCAGGGGAGCAAGGTTAGGGGAATCTGATCTTGGAAAAGCGCAGAACGGTTATTTCTCGCAATGTCCCATCTGTTGAGCAGAGTCTATACACTATGTCTGTGCCTCCTTTCTGTCCATTTCTGATATTTTGGATGCTGCTGTTGTCTCTCTGTGCGGAAGGAAGAGGGAAGCGACTGTGGAACAAAAAAGGGGTTTGATATCATGTGACCGTGACCACCCCCTTTTTTTTGGAGGGGGGGAGAGACGACATCCAGCAACCCTAATGCCTTCAGCGCTCACTCATATGACTGGGTAGGATTGATAACAACCAGCGTGACATTCGTATAGTCAAGGGGTGACATGGATTGCTGAAAAAAATAACCAAAATCGTGCTTGCTTCTTGGTGCAGGTCTTTCGCGTCCGTCCAAACGAACTCAAGGCCCTCCCTCAACCGCTTAAAGGCACTGGAACAACCAACTAAACGCTATTATTTATATACGGATATACGTCGTAAGTAGTCAGCTACCCTACACCATAGAGACATCTCTATTACTCCGTTCCTTTCGACGAAAGGTTTGACATTCTTAGCTGTGTTGAAGGAGTCGCCCCTAAATACCCTGCGTTGTGAAGCGGGTTTCATGTTGGAGTTATTCATAGTATTGGAAGAAACTGTTGAGTCCAGGTAATTTCGTTGTGAACAGTATCTGGTATGAACAATCCATTACTAAATTCTTTTATATAACCTTCTCCCGTCGCAGGTCAGCCAACTTTTCCTGTGAGAGACCGAGCTCCTTAAGCACATCGTCCGTATGCTCTCCTAAAAGCGGAGGGTTGCTCCGAACGGAAGCTTCAGTGTTGCTAAACTTAACAGGAAAGCCTATTTTATATTCCATTTTAGTAATTAATCTCAAAATTACGGCGAACGATTAGGCTTGGGGGAACATAACACTTACCTACGACCTTGAAAATCCCATCGACAGCAGCATCGAAATCGATAGATTTGACCATTTCTCTAGCGTGAGTTTGAGTGTGGGTAAATACCCTCTCTAGGCTGTTAATTGGACCATACGGTATCCCGCTGTTCTCATAGACGTCGAGCCATTCGTCTGTCGTTTTGGTTTTGAACAAGTCGTACAAGATGTTGTTCAGCTCACTTCGATTTCTCACCCTTGAATCGTTCGTCAGAAATCTCTCGTCGGTTGCCAAATCAGGCCTTCCCATGCGCTCTGCGAGAACTCCGAATTGTCTATTATTGGTTGCTCCAAGGACAAGGTAGGAATCCTTGGTTTTAAAACCTTCGTATGGAACGATGCTCGGGTGAGCCGTCCCCCATCGTTGTGCTTCTTGTCCCATGTTTAGCCAACTGCTTGCAACATTGATTAGCAGTGATAGCTGCGTTTCGAAGAGGGATCCGTCTAGCTTTTGGCCTTTCCCAGTTCGATGCCTAGCCTGCAACGCCGCCATTATTGCTCCGTGCATATACAAGCCCGTACACAGGTCTGTCAAGCCGATTCCGGGTTTTGTAGGTGGGCCATCTGCTTCACCAGTTATATGAAGGAGACCACCTTCTGCTGCTGCAATTATATCGTAACCAGCGCGTTGGGCATATGGTCCTGCGGCACCATACCCTATGACACTGTCAAATCGCTAGCCCAGATAGCTTTGGAAGCATCACGTACCCGAAATACTGGCGTGGATGACGGCAGGGTTTATTTTCGAGAGAACATCGTAGCCAATGCCGAGCTCGTCCATTTTTCCTGGGACGAAATTTTCGACGCTTTAGAATATCAGCGCCGTTTCAGTCATGGATGGATATAGTCTAGGACCTACACTACGTCTAAAACTTTAACCAGATCGAGGAGAATCTCCCTGCCCTTTTGGCTCTTCAGGTTCAAGGCAACGGAACGTTTATTCCGATTTACACACGCGAAGTAACAGGATATTGCATCCGTTTGCCACTTTTCGCCCTCTCCCTCTGTCCTCCAGTATCTCGTGTCATCCTTATTTACATCCCGCAATTAGCTCATATTCATAATATTTTCCAAACTCAAACACCAAACGACGATTTATACTCACACCTTTTCCAGGCTGCTCGACTTTAATTACGTCTGCGCCATAATCTGCCAATATCTGCGTGCAAAACGGGCCCTAGGTTTATTTTCCAAAATGGAAATAACTGTTAGCCTAGCCATGTCCTGAATGGTTGTTTGTAAACATGGCCCCAAACCTACAGCTAATACTCTGGTGAGATCCAGTATTTTAAATCCATGCAGCGCCCCGAAAGAATCACCCTTCCCTCCGTCGGGTGAGGTAGTCGAAGAGTAGAACTTCTGTGGAAGATATGGAGCCTGCTGATACCTCGAGACATTTGCCCTATGAGTTAAACCCTTCCGTGCAAGAGTAAATCTTAGGCTTGTCCTTTGCGAATGAAAAAACCCCATAGCCTTGAGCGCAAATGTGAGCAGATTCGATTTTTTCAAAATCCCTTAACCACTTATAACAATACTACTATTATATTTATGATTGTTCGTTTTGATGCACAGCATCGATTTTGACCCCATCATGAGCTTCGGTTCGGCAATATGCCAGTAAAACCTTCGGCAAATCGGCATTTGGGCAACCCCAGACCAACTTTCCCCGCGTTCGGTAACTAAGTCTTCCTGGCCGAACAAACTCTGGGGCCACTGCCGGCTCGGCATTCCAAAAAAAAAAAGGTAGTTACAGCATATGCGCACCCGGAAGCAAAGATGGTATAGACTTCTCCACACCGATAAAGAGGTGGTAAACACCGCTGCTGAATTAAACACAGGCTCGAGTTGTCATCTACAGCTTCACCTCTTCACCCACACTATGTCTTTTCTCCCCCCTGCAATCCGACAGGGACTGGTAAAGCACCTTCCTGTGGCATCCGTGAATATCTCTTTCACTAACTGTACGAGATATCAACGAGATGCCTACGCGGCCCGAAATACATATGTCCCCGTCTTTCGCAGCGTATCGGACATAGATCCCTCCATGCCAAAGCAACAGAATACCTCCAGGCGCACGACCCCGACTGGACCGAGTCACAACGCACAATCCGCGAATCGATAGCAAAAGTATGCTCTAAATTCCCCGATGAGTACTGGCTAAATGCCGAGGAGACGAAGCGCTATCCACTCGATTTCCAAGCTGCTCTGGCCAAAGATGGCTGGCTGGGTGTCTGCATGCCCACAGAATTTGGCGGATCCCAGTTGGGTATCTCAGAAGCTGCCGTGATGATGCAGACCATATCCGAGTCCGGCGCAGGCATGTCTGGCGCGTCATCGGTGCATATGAATATTTTTGGTTTAGAGCCGGTTGTGAGGTTTGGTAATGCAGAGCAAAAGCAGCGGTTCTTGATACCGCTAATCCAGGGCCGTGAGCGCGCCTGCTTTGCCGTTACGGAGCCTAATACCGGGCTTGACACACTAAAACTACGGTCAATGGCTACGCGAGATGGTGACCACTACATCCTCAGGGGCTCGAAGATCTGGATTTCTACCGCGCAACACGCGGAAAAGATCTTAATCCTCGTCAGGACCACCCAGTTGGACAAAGTTACAAAGCCATCGCAGGGCCTCTCACTCTTCTACACGGATCTCGATAGGTCGCAGGTCGACGTTTCCGAGATCCCCAAAATGGGCCGTGCCGCCGTCGACACCAACACCCTCTTTTTCGAAAATTGGAAAGTTCCCGCTGCTGATATGATTGGCGAGGAAAACAACGGCTTCAAAATGATGATGCACGGCATGAATGCCGAGCGCATATTGATTGCCGCGGAGGCTCTAGGACTAGGCTACGCAGCCCTACGTCGGGCGGCTATATACGCGAACGAGAGACAGGTGTTTGGTCGCTCAATTGGGCAAAACCAGGGCATCCAGCACCCGCTGGCTGATTCGTGGATGAACCTGGAAGCTGCGCGGCTGATGGTCTACCAGGCTGCTAGGATGTATGATGCAGGATACACATCGGGCGAGTATGCAAATGCGGCCAAATACTTGGCTGCTGAGGCGGCTTTTAGGGCGTGCGAGAGGGCAGTGATGTCCCATGGCGGTATGGGATATGCGAGGGAGTATCACGTCGAGAGATACCTGAGGGAGGCTTTTATTCCGCGCATTGCCCCTGTTAGTCCTGAGATGATTTGTAATTATATTGGGGAGAGGGTGCTTGGGCTGCCGAAGTCGTATTGATGTGGTTGGGTGGTTAGGTAGGTGGTACAGCATGGATGTCAACATTTCGATTTCAGCGGAAGGAAAACAAGACTGCGGAATATTCCTCCGTGAGAAGTTAAACTCGTACATATAATCGAAACCCCCTAATGGATTGATATTTTACCTGTACTGTAGTATGTGCCGTACCTTTCTAAGAGAAGCATGCAGCTGGGCTCCAGATAACTTAGAAACCATCAATATTAAATCTGCCCCTTGTGGAATATATAGGGCAATCAATCGTTCAATCCATTAAGCTCACACAATCACTCGATTAACCCTTTTATCACAACCTCCACACTTTCCTCCTTCAAACCAAGTCTATCATTCCACAAAAACTTGCGAAAATCGCAGCATGCGTCCTGGGAATAGTAGGCTACCCGAATCAAGTACCAGATAACACTTAGCCCACCCCCTTCCATTCAAGCTTCTCGTTCGCCTCGGATAGTGTCTGCTTGAGATCAATCTTTCGTACATTCCATTTGCTCCCCGTGGCTTTCTCCAGCACGGTAACCATTTCGCTCGCTGCCACTGCATACGAGGACACGTAGACATACTGATTCGCAGTTGCGCTCGGGTGCTCGAGGATAGCCACCAGGGCGCGCCCCACTTGCGGCTGGGTGAACATGCTCATATGAACGTTTCCGGCATCCTAGGCAAGTGCGGATTTGCTGGGAATATCATATTGCAAGAAACCGTGTGTTATACAATAAAAGAATTGTTAATCCATCTAACGCGGATAAAAGGTCTCTCTTGTTGCGTATCTATTGATTCGTCCTAGAGGGTAAAGTACAAACGATATGGGAACACTTACTCAATCAGCAAGGAGTTCCGGAATCAGAGCAGTCCAAGTAATTCTTATCTTGTTGGCTCTCAAGATATTCTACCAGGGTGCGCTTTACAGCCTGAATAGGGGCATTTTTTAAAACTTCAGGGTTCCTGATATCGCTTCAATCGCTCGGGATGAAGATCTTAACTCCGGCGGCGATGGCGGCGTCGGCAATTTTCATCTGGTCCGCAAAGGCAGGGGGGCCAAAAATACTTATGACGGCGTCTTAACCCTGCAAGATTTCAGTGAGGGAGGATGCGGGGAAGTCAGATTGGCAACTTTGATGTTTTACGGGTACGTCGAGGTTGATGCCTCACGGCCAAGAACTGTGATGTTGAAAGTTGATTTGAGAAATTCGGCCATGACTGGAGGGTCAATATTGCCCCCAGCCCAACGACGGTGTGTAGTAATCAGTTTGGTATTCACAGACACTCAGCCTTACCCTGGTAACATTATTGTCGTAATATGAGTTGCTATGATGTTGTCTTTAAAGAGATAAAATCGATGATTCTTCAGCAAGACAAAACTCATGGCTAGGTGAGTGGTAGAGAGTGTAGATAGAAGAGAACACTTATATCATTCGAAGATAAAACCGGTCTCTCTCCTTATGAATATACCTACCGTCATGTATTTGAATATCTATATATAACTCAGGGCATTTCCTCGTAGTTCGCCTCACGACTGAGGCCTTATTCCGGAAACAATGACGTCTTATGCAGGAGCAGCGCCCTCGATAGGTTTGAACCTTTTACGCACATCTTCTTGAGGCAAAGTACTATGTACGTCGATTTGGTTTGAGAAAGAATCCAAATATGTGGCAAGGCACTGTGATGACAGCGGCTTAGTCCCGGAAACAGCACTCATCTCCAGACTTTGGGCAGTGCAGGGCGGAATTCAATGTCATTCAACATCTCGATATTAAGGGATAACCTTCAGACCGGTGGCTAACTGGCCCGCAGATTAGGCAGTCCGCGGTGTCGAGTCTGACCCTGTTCTTCCATCCAGACATTCAGATCGGCCAAATCAAGGACAAATATCAGAAGAAAGTCCAATGCGGACATTGGCAGCCAGATTTCTGGTTCTGAGCAGGGAGTTCATTTCAGAGCCGAAGGTTCCGCTGCTCGATTCAGGGTGTCTCGACTGAGTGTTACTGACCAATTATTGCTTCTTTTCTCGCAACTTCGAACAGAGATGAGCTAGGTTGATTGTGATTGGGGCAAAGCAAAGCTGAGGTCTATCAGCAAGATATCTCAGATGCAATTCGCTGTGATGGCCGAGTCAGCCCGTCAAAAGTGTTCTGGGTCGGGACGATTGGGTTTCTCCGCATCTGCGCAACTTTGTTCTTGAGCATCGGGATTGAAATTGGGAACCAAGAGTGGGCAGCGAAACCCCAGGCTCAAGAGTGGAGTGGGAAGGGGAGCCAGGCCGAGGGTGACGGGACGTTAGAAAGGTTAGTTAACTAGCTCAAGCCCCGGATGAGCTAAGCGGTGCTTCAGCCAGAGCTGGGTTGGGGCATTAATCTGTTGTTCGCATGCAGGTCCCAACATCCTGGATATTAAACACTGTTGGGATGAGGAGTGAAGGTAGGAACCCACCATGTCTTTGTATCATCGCCTTATCACCATTGGAAATCGCAAAGGGAAAAGGATAATGTTGATATAGCGAGAGGAATTGAACGAACAGTCTGGGATTAGGGCTGCTGGTTGCCCGAAGCAGCGGACTCAGCCCTAACCCTAATTAATTAACTAATTAATCAACTAACCTCATCCTAACGCCGCGATATCAGCAGGCCAACCAACTAGTCTCTGACCCCCCGGATTTTGTCGAACAAGGGAGGGGGACGGACGGTAGGTTGTAACTTGTAAGTCGAATTGAGATTTCTCTCCAGCATCCTTGGTATCTTGCATTCTTAATCGTCGAATTTGACACCTCGGTGCTCTAATGTGCTCAGCCCTCTGATATGCCTCTGTCAAGTCAACCGAGGCGCCTGTGTAGAATGAGCGTACCCATACGAGCTGGCGATAACGTATCAAGCACTTTATCAACCGCTAGACTTCAATAATGTCCCAATCCTGGGCCGGACTGGCAAAGCTGTGACCTCCCTGGAGAAACAGAGCTTAACAACGTTTTGGACCGAAGCTCGACGTTGTTAGCTCATGTTCCCTGCATCGTCTACCCCCTATTCACTTAGGCCAACGGCCAATTATAAAGCTGGTCAAAAAATATCTTCGGACAGCTCTGTTGAAGCTGGACCTGGAGCTGGAGGGAGCTTTTGGGCGACTGGCGAGGATTAGGCCAAGTCCTCTACTTGAAGGAGTCGCTTGGTGACAGCCAGCGCGCCAATCAGTGGTGTGATGTATGAATGATGTATGTTACCCCACTCCTGTCGACCCCTCGAGCACAATATCACGTCGTTTATCAGCGAAACACTCCGAACCAAATGGACGCTGTATGAATTGATGAAGATTCAAGATTCCTAATCCGGAGACTGAGACTGATGCATCTATCTACAACTACTGCCTGCCGTATCTGTGATATGAATGTCAACGAATTTCGTCCTGGTTGGTTCCCTTACATAGTTATCTATAGCCCGGCGACATGCATTTATGTTTCCAAAGTTTCGATCCATGTTCTAATGTTCTAGCCCGGAGCTTAATATTTTTCGTCCTTCGTTTTCTTTTTCTTTTTTCCCTCGCCGATAAAATTCGCCTCCTCCAGACCCACCACCCTCGTCATATCACTAACCTCCACCCTTCGTCGGACAGCCAGAGCTTCCACCTAGGTCCCCATTCACCAGTCCTCAGTCCCCGACAGCTGGGGAATGGTCAGGCCATGATTCATCCCTTTCCCTAACTTCTATAACTACGTCGATCAAGCGCGCTATTCTTGCCGCTAAGCTCGCTCCGAGGGGCCTGGAAGCTGGGCAGCTTCGTCCCACCCTTTTATAACTGCCCACCCTCGCTCGTCTGCAATTCTTTTCAAATGGTCTGATGTAACCCTGCGTTAAAGTCTCCTGTAGACTCCCCAGTCCCTACCAAAACCTCGGGGCTCTCAATCAACGTCTTTCAACATGGAGGAAAAAGTGATTGCCGACAGGCTGGCGTCGAGTCCAGCGCCGTCATCGAGTACAAAGAAGGATGGGGCTGACATCGCCGCTGTCGAGATTGATCTCGTCAAAGCGAAGGCTTTGGTGAAGAAGGTGGACTGCCATATTGTTCCTTTCCTGGTCCTGTTATATGTCTTCAGCTTTTTGGATCGGGGTGGGTTTTTTCTTTCTTTGGCATGAGTCACATAAGGCCTAAACTAATGATGGTTCTATATAGTGAATATCGGCAATGCGCGACTCTATGATATGGAGTCTGACCTGGGTCTCACTGGTAATCAGTACCAGATCGCAATCTCAATCCTGTTTATCCCATATTGTGTATGCATTCCCCGCACCCCGCTGCCCGCGTCAAGCGGAAAAATAGCCCACAGAGCTTAAGAGGGGGGGGGGGAGAAAAAGACGAAAAAAAGAAAAAAAGAAAAAAAAACGAAAACCTTAGGGGGCGCAACATTCAATTCAATTTACAAAGCTAACTATTTGCCTGCTAGCTTCTGGAAGTCCCGTCCAACCTCGTAATCCGAAAATTCACAGCATCTCGCTACATTGCCTTCATCGCCGTATCATGGGGGATCATTGCCACGCTGACGGGAATTGTTCAAAACTTCGCCGGTCTGGTTGTATGCCGCTTCCTCCTCGGATGCGTGGAAGCCGGTCTGTTCCCTGGCCTGGTGGCATACATGACTCTGTTCTACGGCAAGCGCGAGATAGCGCTGCGAGTTGGTTATCTATTCAGTGCTGCTGCGCTTGCCGGGGCGTGCGGTGGTTTGCTCGCCTATGCCATTGGCTTCATGAGTGGAGTTGCAGGGCAGAAGGGCTGGCGCTGGATTTTGATCATCGAAGGTATCCCCTCAGTTCTCATCGGCGTGGCGACATGGTTTGGCCTTGCCGATGATCCAGATACTGCCTACTACCTCAATGCGGAAGAGAGAGAGCTTATGCGGGCCCGCCGTAGTCTGGAAATTGGCCAGACCGACTCGGCGCAGCAGTTTCACAAGGAAGATGCGAAGGAGGGCGCCAAAGACTGGACCATCTGGCTCATGTGTCTCAGTCAGTATGGCGTTGACACCGTCCTGTATGGGTATAGCACCTTCCTGCCCACCATCATCAACGCTATCGGAAACTGGACCGTCCCGCAAGTCCAGGCGTTGACTATTCCCTGCTACGCCCTGGGCGCGATTACCTACCTTGTTGTCGCCTGGTTTAGCGACCGCATGCAGCGCCGTGCTATATTCACGATTGCATTCTGTATCATTGCGATGGTCGGCTATGGAGTTCTGATGTCAGACAGCAGCGCCGGCGTCCATTACTTCGGTTGCTTCCTTGTCGCAATCGGCCTGTATGTCTGCGTTGGCCTGCCGCTCGCCTGGTTGCCAACGAATCTTCCGCGGTTTGGTAAGAGAACGTTCGCCACTGGTCTCCAGCTTACCTTGGGGAATGTCAGTGGCATAATGACGCCGTTCTTGTACCTCAACAGGGACGGCCCACGCTACCTAATGGGCCACGGGGTAACCCTTGCCCTTACGGGGTTTTCGGCGGCGATATTCGCGTTCATGTGGTTCCATTATAAGAGGATTAACAAAAGACGTGCAGCGGGCTTGGAGGATGACAAGATTGCCGGGATGACGGAGGAAGAAATCTCTGAGATGGGTGATCGGAACCCCAGATTCCGCTATGTCACATAGAAAGTGTATTCTTTTTATTATTTTTTTTATCTTCCTTGTCGTATGTGTACTTTTCTCGTTTCCCAATTCTCTCCCGACGTACAGCTTTTATGCTATCCTGGTTACTGGTCTTTGTTTAGATCCTCTTTGTTACATGAGCTTCAAGTTTCATCTCGGCCGGCTAATGGGTATCTCTCTCTCTATAGAAATATATATAAGAAATTCCCACTAAAGTTAGATGCGTTGCAGTGGTTGGTTTATATCACAACCTAAGCAATATTATGATCATGCGAAGTATTCTATAAATATCCACAACGATCATGTTTTATCATAGATATTAGAAGTCTGCCTTTAAACCGTCCCTCGTGAATCATTGGATTCTCCCTGTCTACGGTAATTGCGTAGCGAGCCTGGACAGGCCCCTATTTTTACCCTTCTATCAGGGTATTATTATTGTCTGGCCAGTTGCCATACTCTGCTAGCACTAGCAACCCCCCTATTTCTGGATGTTGGCAAAGTTCTACGTGTATTAAATTTAGCCCTCCCCTTGGCCCTTGCGCAACTCGCTTTGGCTGATCATGTAATTTCTTTCTACATGTAACTTCGCAGACGGCATGTTTGCATCCATCGTCGTGTCCGGATCTTGTCTTAACACATTAATCCACATCTCTCCGCGGCGTTATCGTTCTCAGGACAAACTCCCTTTTCAATCCACCCCACTTCTGGAACTCCTGGATCGCCCAGCTGGCGAATTTTAGATGCCAAGTGACTCGATGGATTTAGAGCGATGTCGCCAGTGCTTTTCAAGCGTGGTTGATATTTTGTACTCGTAGACATTCCGGATGTCTGAGTAGTAGTTAGTGGAGTCAACACGGAATACCAACTTATCAATCCATTCTGAAATTTCATTGCATATGCTGCCCTGATGTTGGGGAAACCTCGAGTTGCCGGCCCAAGGAATTCCGCCTTCTGAGTCTTCGGCATGGCGAAATCGGCGCAGCACGCATGCCATGGAGGTAAGAAAGTTAGGAAGCCCTTCGACTGAGTTCTAACTGCCCAATTTCATTCCTAAGGGGCAATTATCCGTTCTTCTCGTCCTTAGAACTAGTTAACTGCGCATTTCTTCCACACAACATACGCCCCACTCAGTCTTGCAATGGCTTTGCTTCGGGAGACCGGGACTCAAAGTGGCTCGGTTGGTTTGACTCTGGTTCTTTTCTTCATCCTCCGGTCATCATCCGTTCTGCGCATTGCAATACCTGTTATATTTGTCAGTAATGGGGAAATTCAAATAACTACATTATCTTCAAGTTGATTACAAACTCCTCTGTAGATTGATATTTGACGTGGATGTGTGTGTGTATGGGATGGAAACGAATCCTGTCCTCCGCACATGGATGGAGCCTTTGGATCATATTTATCAAGCGGTGCTCGTTCAGCCCTCAAACACGCTGCCTGCGGTGAGGCGGAATGAATGGATGCATCGGCATGGCATGCTGTGCTCCCAACCAACCTGAATTCCAATATAATTATCCACTCCTAAACTGGTTATTTAGCTCAGGGGTTCTGTTTTTCATGATTGAAGCACGGTGTAAAATCTGATCACACTGCAGCAGACTGTGCTGTGTTTCTTCTTTCTTGCGTTGTTTTCTTTTTCTGCTTTCCGTACTTTTTTCTTTTTTTTTTTTTCTTCTTTCTTTTTTCTTCTTTTTTCTTCTTTCTTTCTTTTCTGATATTCTGAGTGGTCCGGCCGCTATTCGGCCAGCAAAGTTCAATAGTGGTGCCAGTAGCCGTTTGGGAACGAGGGAATTGTTATGTGCCCAATGGGATATCAAGCTCAAGTTTAATCCATTCTGCCCCAAATTCCATTCTCGACGGGGTGGAAGGGCTCCCGATCGATCTGAGCGTTGATTCAAGCTCCTCTTGTTACCCTTAGACTCTCGGGGGAGAGCGAAGTTTTGATATTTGCTCCATACTCCGTAGATCTCCCTAGATCACCACCCGCAAATACTCTCGAACTTGAAACTCACGTTGATGGAGACAAAGGAAACGGAGGGGGGAAAAGGTAGTTAGGGGAAAAAAAAAGAAAAAAGAAAAAAGAAAACGAAATCAGGACTAATCGAGTTCTTCTTCTTATTGACTTTGTATAGCGGGTTCCCCATTTTTTTCCTTTTCCCTTTTTCTTTTTCTATTCCCTTTAGGAAGCGCGAATTTGACTAGCGCCCGATATCAAATATTATCATGATCAGCAAGCCCATTTTTAGCCACATCCAACTTTTGCACCTCGAAATCTCCGTCAGCCAAAGGCAAGATATGTACGGAGTTATGCCAGTGCAAATTTTTCGGGCTTTGGGCGACATCAATTCATGCCGTGAGCCCCCTGGGTGGTTCTAAATACTCGAAGCCCATTTGTCAGATAGCTTTCCTCAAAAATAGGAGACTGTTGTCATAGAGTTAATGCGCGGGACAAGTGCAAGAAAACGAGTTTGATTCACAGGTCTCATGGCATCATCATTGGAGCGCCTGATAAAAAAAAAAAAAAATCTTTTACCATGTACCAATATGGACGGAAGGGCAGTGTTGAAGATCACACACGGGATTTTCGATAGTGCTGCCAGGGCTAATCTCACTATTACATCAAACCCAGCCATATTTCCAAGGAGATTCATGGATTATCATTGCCATTGGCAGACCTGTTGAGCCCAGCCAGCCTGCAACGCATGAGAAGTTGGCAGTCTTGGATCAGGGGTAGTTCACAAACTCCCTTCGTCACCTATTATTTATACCCCGACCCTATCCTACCAGAGAGCATCTAGTAGTACTTGTTTTCATCCTCCTCACAATTCACTACTCCAAAATACCTCGACACTCCTTTCAGAACTTTATATCCTTAACAGTCTTTTCCGAAACGACAAACATGCGGCTCACAAGCGCCTCCCTCTTCGGCCTCCTCGTCGCGGTCGCCCCATTGGGCACCATCGCAGACAGCACACTTCCCGCAGACACATCAGAAGCCTGCGCCTTACTCGCGAACCGTACACCTGAGGAGTTCGCGTCCACCCTGGCGGATCTAGAGAACCAAGCGAAACTAGACCCTACCCGAGACCAGGCCGAGATTGACGAATTTTTGGCCCAAGTCCAATCACTCCCCGTCGAAAACCTGCAGGCTGAGGTCGACAAAACATGCGCTGCGCAGGCTCAAGCCCCAAAGATCAGCCGCAGCAGGATCGCTCGCCGACAAGATCTGGGTGGAACTCTGGGTGGCGTGAATGCTCTGGGTGGCGTGGGTGATGCCCTGGGCGGAGCCCTGGGGTCTTCACTTGGTGGTGTAGCTGGAGGCTCAGCCGTGAAGAAGGCCCGTAACGAAAATGCTCGCCGGCAAGACATTGGTGGCACTGTGGGCACTGTGACTGGTGCTCTGCCCGGAGGCCTTGGGTCTGCAATTGACAGTTCAACGGGAACAGCTGGGGGCGCGCTTGGAGGTGGTCTGGGCGTAAAGAAGGCCCGTAACGAAAATGCTCGCCGGCAAGACATTGGTGGCACTGTGAGCGGTGTGACCGATACTCTGCCCGGAGGCCTTGGAGACACGGTTAATGGTGTGGTAGATGATGCGGAGAAGGGTGCTGGGACACTTTCTCGTCGACAAATCGGCGGATCTCTAGCAGGTCTAAATGGTGATCTTGGTGGTCAGCAGACGAAGAAGGGCGGCCTTATGGGTGGTGTTCTTATCCCTGGGTTGCTGTAGATTACCGACGCCGACCTGGATATTTGAATGACATATGTTTTCTTGCATCTTCCTATTGATTTGATGGATACTTAAAGCTGGAAATGGAGGCGTGAGGCGGATTGAGATCGTATTGAATTCGAGGGTCGTTGTTATTGTCAATAGCTGATATATTCTCTTGAGAGCGGGCTTTGTCTATTTATCCTCTGCCAAGTTCCTGTAGAGGAAAACAGAAGATGCTTTACATATTTAATAATAGAAATTCATCTACGGTTATTTAAGCGATCATCATGCTAACATAGATACTTATCTCCGCTGGGATTGAACATGCGATCTCTGTAGCATAAATAGCATGATTATTAACTAGCATTTAGTGTAACTCTCTATCTATAATATACAGTTGAATATATTTTAAAAGAATTCTTCAATTCTGATAAGATATCTGATATGATCTTTGACTTTATACTAACTATATATTAAACAGAGTTCTCTAGTGATTTCAAACCAGTGAAGATTTTATTGAATTTAATATACAGTGATCAGATAGTTAATAATCAAATACTTTGCATGATTTCAGCAGATATATACTGTTTTCATAAGCAGTAGTTAACTACGTCCGCCATAATACCATTTTGCCACCTTCTACGTTCCATGTCGTGAATGTGTCGAGCCCCAGCTCCTCCTCGTCGCTCATCGTAGCGTAGCGTAGCATAGCCCACAATCACTTGGAAGAAACATTCTGGGTCCTGGTAGACGTCGAGGACATGCTCATTGATATGAATCTGGCTGTGTTGTCAGACCATTTAACAATTGCTGTTGTTTATCTGCCTCCAACTCTATTCAGATAGTTAGTCCAGAAGTCTCTGATGTTTTGGCCATGATCGCTTCTGCTCTTTCAGAATAATGACTGTCACAGCGCTTCATCGGCCCAGCTAAATAACTAGTTAACTATTTGCCTGAAACTCCATGATTGGTGTCTTTTTGAAAGTTGCGTGACTACATTTTCACACAGATGAATCTCAGGGTGTTTATTATGATTGATTTTCCATTATTACGCTACCTCAAACCCTGTCAAATTTCCAACTACTCTCTGGGCACCTGGCATGACAAGCGGGTGCGTGCTCGACCCCTATATGGTGTAAGTTATCATATCAATTATTTCCTCCCCCGTATAACCAGAGCGCCATAGGCGTGGAATAAGGAAACTGTGTGCGAGAAGGACGGCTGTTATGGGACAGTTCGACTGCAAGATCAATTTATTAGAGAACCTCCAGATGCTTCTATGCCCGAGGTAGGAGCAGCATTACAATGGCATAACATGGTAGGTAAATAAGGGATCGATCTAGTACTGCAAAAATTTTATCCCCTTTGCTGTTGAAAAGTGGTCAGGCTACGCTTTCGATCGTGGGGACAACTACGCTGTACACAGTAGGACTTACTGAGGATGAAGAGCTAATGGTGTCTCAACAACTTGCAGATTCACTAGTGAGTGATCTACTATTTACAGCAACTTACGCTGTAGGTCATAGTCAAACACTAACCAGGACCATAACTTTCTTCTTACAGGAAGCTGATCATGCACGAGATGAAATTGCTGAGACTTATCTCTACTACTGCACCTAGCCAATTGCTCTGCATTACAATTAGAGTGCACTTGCGGAGATGGTATGATAACCTTTCAGGACTGCAGCGTGAGGAATAGCATTCAATGATTGATGGAAATATTTGTAGATCGTTGAAGGGGCCATAATTTTTTAAATTCCAAACCTCATGATGAACATAGGGTGAATCGGGTGGCCCAGGGTGGCGCGACTCTGTTAAAAAAAAAAAAAAAAAAAAAAAAAAAAAAACCTTGTGCCTCATTCCTATCAATATTTTCAACAATTTTGTGGAAGCCACATCGTCTCCGTCGACATCTCTGAAGACTGGCCTGGTATGGCGGTAATTGGCTTCGTCTTTGACGTGGCATCCAAACTCCGGCAACAAAGCCTTATTATTCGGTCAAACGTTTCTTCCTCGGCTTTTTGAATATTTGCGTTTGCTCAGTGAAAGAGTCGGTAGGGGTAACACCTGCTGAGTCAAGATATCCCAGCTAGCTTGACTGGTTGTTGTCCTCTTCCAGGGGTACCGATTTAGCGTTCGATTGTTAGGAGTATTGAAGTTCTGACTGTGAGATGTGAAAATCCACATCAGGGGGTATCTGATCAATTGCGGAGCATATTCTTTTAAAATGAGTTGGCATCCATATATCATAGACATTTCTTGTGAATTTGTATGCTGTCCATTTCTCTTTGCCATCCAGAGTGGTAAAATCGAACTTGTGGATTGGGTGGCGGTAGAAATTCATCTTCTCTCCTTCAAGAACTGCATAATGACCGTAGATCCTCACTGCTGTATGGTCATGTGAGACTGAGAAGGCGAGTATCTCTCGGTTGACCTCTCTTTCACGCTTCACAAGCTTGAATAGCTCAATAGTAGCTCTCACTGCAATAGTGGCACTGTGGGCATTCTGTCGATCAGCGATATCAAGTGCTGCTGCACCACACTTAACTTCACATGTTAAGAATGGGAAGTACATGTAGAATGTTGCCATGAAGTAGGATGTATCAGTCAGGTCACCGACAAAGGGCTGAAGCCTTTGCAGTTGGTCATCTGTAAATGCCTCTCGTCTGAAACCCACAGAGTAATCAGGCTGCGGACGAGGTTTAGTTACAGGGATAGCATTGTTCCAGCCTTCACTAACACTTTCAATCAAAAATTTGAGATGCTCATTGCCATATATGGCTAGATTTTCTGCTGAAGGGACAATCAATCGAGTGATGTCCTGAATAACCATGGCCTCATTCCTATCCTGCATCTTCTCACAGGTTTTTTCAAATAGATTGTCATGGAATAACGAGTTCTCCGGAACTCTTTGTTCAGCATCAAGCAAAGTTTGATAACTGCTTTTGCTAGCATCTGTGATACCCAGTTTTGATTCTTTCATAAAACTGCCCTTGGTTTGAAGCAACATTCTGTAGTGTGCATTTTCATATGGAGCACTCTTTTCCTCCCTCGGCATTTGGTCGCTGGGTGTGGTGGAGCTGATGACAGAACTAGCTTCCAATTGCTTGCGGTGTAGAGAAGATGTCGATTTTTTTCTTGCAAGTAGATGACTCATGTTTCTTCCGTGTTCAAAGTATTCTTTAGGCCAGATTCCTTCGTTCCTCCAGTAATTGATTGGATTTATATTATATTTGCAGCCGTTGCTTGCCAACTCCTGGATAGGTATATTCCCATCACTAGCAAGTGACGTTCGCGGTCGTTTTACAATATGCTCAGCTGGAATGTGGAGTGAGTCTCCAGCTTCTCGCGACTGCTTTTGTTTTTGATGTTTAGCTTGCGGAGAGGCCAGCAGGGCCTGAGGAGCCTTAGCTTTGAGTTAGCTTCATAGTGCAGTAACTTATTGCAAGAGGAAAGTAACATGCCTCCTCTCTGGAATTATAGCCTGTTGGAAAGGGATATGGGTGGTTTTGTTCTGTTTTCCTGTCCGTTGATTGAATTTGCTCATCATGGCCACTCAGACGTGGACTCCTGCGAACAGGTACTTGTGGTCGTTTCCCGACACCTTGGGGTCGCTTTCCTACCAACGGTCAGTCAAAGTAGCTGGTAATGTAATGAACATGAATAACGCACCTTGGTTTTGATGGCGGGCCATGATGACAAGAAGGGAGAGGGATAGGAGGTGGTTTTAAGTTGCTACAGCACAATATCCCAAGTTGGTAATTTATCCTAACACCCCTTCTCCTCGCTTATTAATTAGTTACCACTAATAACGTTAATGTTGGGGGGTCCCGGGTTGATCGGCCCTTCCACCAGTTGCCCCGATAACTAGTTAGTTAGTTAAGTTAGTTACCCACTAACTTATTGGGGCATAGTGAATGGGGCCGCCAAGTAGCAAGTAACTAGTACTACGCAGTAACTCCGTAGTTAACTGTTTATTAATAGGCAAATATGACGACATGAGTATTGGTTAGCAGATAATAATAAACTTCATTGATATCATAAGTTAATAAATAAGCCAATGTGTCATTCATCTCTCTGAGATTTTGAATCCCTTTGCTGTTTATCTAGTTATATATTTACTTGTCAATCCTATAGCCATCTCTTCCACTTATTTCCCAACCCAAGTATAACTATCCGGCGCGACCCGGCACCATTTGAACCAATGGCGAAAGCTATCGCAGTGATTGCTGGCGTGGGTGCTGGCACAGTAAGGCGTTTCCATTTTACTTTTGGGGAAGAAAATCACATAGCATTCTTTTGTTCTAACACTGTTGTGTAATGTGGCAGGGAGCTTCCATCGCCCGAAAATTTGCCCAAAAATACAGCGTGGCCGTCCTAGCTCGTAGTCCAACCAGCTATCAGTCTCTCGTCCAAGAAATAAGTAGCAGCGGCGGGAACGCCGTTGGCATAAACACGGATGTCACTAGTGTCGCGAGCGTGAAAAATGCTTTCTCAGAAATATCGAAGGCGTTCCCTGGCGCGCCAGTTGCGGCTGCGATATATAATGTTGGCGGAGGCTTCGTGCGGAAACCCTTTCTCGAACTTTCGCAGGAGGATTTCACGGCTGGCTTTGAGAGCAATGCGTATGCACATCACATTTCTAAATTATGTCTTTTTGCATCAAAATCACGTTGTTATTCCAGTCCCTATCCTATGGCCCTTGCGCCAACCCCAAAAGGCCATCTCTGTTATGTGAACTGTGACCAAAACGAACATGCTAACGTGTTTACTATATGCTATGTATCAAACGATTTGCAGCAAAGGAGCCTTTCATTTCTCCCAGGCCGCCCTGCCTTTACTTTTGAAGTCTGGAAACCTGGAATACCCACCTACGCTCATTTTCACTGGTACAACCAACCCCCGCCCACTTTACAGCCTTTACAACCTCCTCCTCGGAATTGGCTGAATAAAGCTAATATGGCTTATATTAGGCGCTACGGCAAGTCTCAGAGGATCTGCCCTTTGCTCATCTTTTGCAACGGGGAAGTCTGCTCTGCGCGCCCTGTCCCAGTCTCTAGCTAGGGAGTTTGGTCCCCAGGGGATCCACGTTTGCCATACTATTATTGATGGCGTTATTGATATTGAACGCACGAAAGGCTTCCATTTTGATGTCCCAGATGCAAAATTGAATCCCAATTCGGTCAGTACGAATGCTGGAATTTTAGTGTCATTGCTAGCTAAAGCAAGGGGAAAAACGGGGAAAGGAGGGCTACTGATGAAGAAAAGACCTGCCTTGCTTACCTCGAGCTTAAGTGATAAGTTACCGTTTAGCTAACATTCTATTTATGTCTCTAGATTGCGGATACGTATTGGTTCCTGCACACTCAGCCGAGAACCACATTTACCCAAGAACTTGACTTGCGACCTTATGTTGAAAAATGGTAAAACAGTACCCCTTCTACGAGATCCCCTAGCCAGGGCACAGTGTAATCTTAGGAAAATGGCGGGTGGTATAACTATGGCTCTCGCTGGTATTCGCCTCATTCACCGACTGATCAGTAAAAAAATGATGAAGGCCATGGATTCTGATTGGAACTATATTTTTGGTTTTTCTTGCATATTATAAAAGTTAGGAAATACAATGATAATAATACTATCTTGATTGTCCCTCATCGTATGTTTTGTTGTATGTTGGTTCGCAGAGCAAGTTATGTCATTATGACTAAGCACCACGCCTTTTGCGTTTTTAAAGATTCTCCGAAACATGCTCCAAAGTCGCAGCAACAAAGTACCAACGCCGTGATTGCGGCCTTTCTATTGCGATAAGACACCCCCCATACATGGATGGAGTAAGTAGTAACTTGGCGTCGTGACTTGCTCCCCATTCTCACTTTCTGGTCGGCTTCTGGTCTCAGCAGCCCCTAACCTCTCTCCCTCTTTAGATCCCGACAACCGACAAACCCATACCTTCTCCAATATGGTTCTGAACGAAGTATCGTCCCAGGCGGATGGCTATGGTAATGCTGCCATGGACTCCGACGATAGCTACTCGTTCTCGCAAAACTCACTATCACCTCTCAGAAAATTTGCCGCTCGAATTGAGATTCCGCCCTATGGATTAGGGAAACAATTATTATTCCTGCGGTCAAAAGAGGCATATGAGGAATATATGGCTACTCGTATCAAGCAGCATATTGAAATCGGAATGGCTTTTGTGGACCGGCCTCTTACTCAACTGGAAACCGACTCTTTCGTTGACCAGGCCGTAGGCTTAACGACAAAACCTCGAATCGGTGCTTACCTTGGCTCCTTCTTGGGGTTCGTGCTAGTCGCCAAACCTTTCTTCAAGAACGGTCGTCTAATACCTATTGCGCAAATGAAGAGTATGGTAGATAGACAGCTAATCATTAAAACCCTGCTTTGGCCGTTCTGCGCCGTTGCGGGAAATACTTTCGGAAAAGCAAGCGGCGCTTCTCTGGCTGTACGAGACCTAACATCCGATCCCAGATTAACCCAGTATCGGCAAGACCGTGCAAATCAGGATCCTCAGAAGGTTCAAAAGAGCTTAGAAAAACTTGGATGGAAGACTCGCCATACTCAGCCGCGTCCCCATCGCCACCCTTCCGCGCAACAAAATATACCAGAGCATGAACATGCCAGCCCATCCGCTGGATTCGAGTCAACCGGCGATGGTGACTCGATGTACTCTTCTACCCAGTACGGATCCTCAAATGAAAGTTACGGAATTCAATCACAAGCGGATTCGCAGATTTTGGGACAATCGAGTTCACAGCAACGGAATCCGCAACAGCAGCAGCAACAACAACAACAACAACAAGGCAGTTGGGATATGTATCGACAGGGCCGTCAGTCAGTCAATAAAAGCGATAATGAAGACATATTTGATCTCCGCTCCGATACCACAGCACCAGCAGCCAGCTCAACGGCCACTAGATCACAGCCTTCGGGAAGTGCCTGGGACAGGCTACGCGGGTCATCGTCCACTTCCACCCCCGCATCTACCAACAGGGGAGGCTCAACATTTGATTCCCCAACATCGAACACCGAGAGCGCATCGTCCGAGTCATTACCAACGCCCTCCGGCAGCTCGTGGGACCGAATACGCAACGCATCCGCGTTCCCCTCATCCGCCCCTTTCCAACCGCCACCTGAGCAATGGTCTCAGAGTCAACAAGATAACTATTCTGAGTCTACACAACACTCCAAGGACAAGGCGCAACGCGAGTTTGACCGTTTGCTTGAGAAGGAGAGGCAGAACAGCGGTGACAGCGACGGTTATACCAAACAAATGGGGGAGTGGGGTAGGGGTTCATAGCGAAGGTGATTTTGTACTTGTAAATATTATTTGCTGATATTTCATTTTTATTTCTGAGGTCTCGCCGGCTATTCTCCTCTCTTTTTATTCGACTTTCCTTTCAGAGGATTTCAAGCGAATGGAGCATTAGGATAACACTAGCCTCTTCATCGATTGCATGTTCCCAGCCGTTTCCATATGGGGGGGGGGGAATATAACCCCTGAATTTGGGCTCACTCACGGGTATGCGAATGTACACATTTCTTATACCTGTGTGCATTGCTTGTATCTACATACCACAACTTCTATATTATATTACCCACTTGAATGAAAGCCAAACTACAAGGTCAAAAAGTTTCATGTAGCATGCTTTCCGTAAGTAGAACCATCGGGGATACTACGTAGGTTAAGAGGAGAGTAAATTATTCGTATATAATTTTATAGATATGGAGAGGGGGTGCGCTACAAGAAACGGAAAAAACACTACCACAATCTTTCATCAAAGCCACCCCGGTAAAGAAGCATCAATCCCCTGAGAAGAAGAATATCGCAAGGAAAGACAATCGAAATAGAGAAGTGGGGATATCAGAACGACATGAACAGAAGCGACATAGAAATTGAACAGAAAAAGCAAAAGGAAAGGGGAAAAAAACAAGGGGGGGTAAGGAGCTTATAAATTCAACCTTTGCTAGTATAGATACTTTCGGAAAAACGAACATGCTAAAATGGGAATATAAATGAATATTCGGGTGGGAGGATATTATGTGCCGCCTTAACCTTTAGCAGCCATTGGTCGCTAAGCTTCGCTGCTACACGGTATTCACACAGTCTTCTTGCCCATGAGTAGAGGATAGAAAAGAAAAGAAACGAAACTGAAATAACATGAATTAGAATAAAAAACGCATTTTTACCGCCGACGGTATCCCTTCTTTAAACTTGGCCAACTTTCATGTTCTGATTGGTAATTCCAAATCTCAAAACATCACGTAGTAAAACAGTTAGTTTCTTGTTGTTACCATTCCTTAATTTTTTTTTTAATTTTTTTCCCTCCGGTTTTCAACAGCGGCCTAGTCAATGTCGCAGTGTTGGCCCTTAGATGTATAAATCGCTGGAGGTGAGAGTATTGCTGTCACTAATCTATATCCTGTTCTCTATAACATTTTGTATGGATAAACTTTCATAGGGTGAAGGCGCATCGGATTCCGAAGGCGTGGGCCGTGTATTGCGGCCCCGGCTTGTGCTACGCATCCTATCCGTAAAATTGCGGATTTTACTCGTGAAGTTTTCATTCACACTGCGGCCACGGCGATGGGAGGTATCGCCATTGCTTCTCGAGGGCGACATTCCTGACGACTCGGCGATGGGGGAGAAGATTGCTGGTGGTTGTTGTTGGTGTTGCAGGGGAATATCGTTCATCTTTCCGGGATCATCGATGGCAATATTGATAGTGCCCACGCCGGAAACTAGTGAGTTTCGTGAATCGTACGTCGACGGCATATGGTTATGCGTATGGATCATGGGAGGCGGTGGGGGCGGTGGTGGAGGTGATTGAAGATGCCGAAGTTCTGGGAGGAGGGGTGGCGGTCCGTTGCCATTGTTGCCAGTTGAATGATTCTGGCCCATATCCTGTGAGGTCTGTCGACGATGAGCGAATTTCTGTGCTGGTTTGCTACTAGGTATCTGTTGCTGATAATGCGGGTGGGCTAAAAGCCCGTGTGGCTTCCCATTGAGCTCAAGGTGGTCAGGTGGAGCAGAAGCTGACCGCGAAATATTATGTCCACTCGGTCGATAAACAGCGTCGCTCAGTGTCATTATATTGTCTGGGACCTCAGGGAGAGCAGGGGCGTTGACGTCTGCATAGCCGGTGCTGTATTTTGGATGTCTCATTGCCCTCGGCGTTGCGGGTAGCCCAATCGGAACATTCGAGGGTCCACGTCCCGAGTGGTTGGAGTCAGAATTATTTGAATTGGCTGGAGATAGGTTTTTTCCACCCATCCTTTGATGGAAGGAGCCGCTGTATGGAGGACTGTCAGTTGCATTTTGTCGGTGGGACAGGTTACTGCTATTCTCGCCCGGAAGCGGAATTGAGGGAGCAGAAGGTCGGCGTGCGAGGGACAGACGGCGAGCTTCCAGTTCAGCGGCAGCTAATTCCTTTCTTTTACGTTCCGCCACGGATTGAAGCGACGTTGGCTGGCCACTGGTTTCAACGCCTGCTACTAAGGGCATTTCATTATCGATAGGGTAGGCATGCCTGCGATGGCCTCTAATACCATCTCCACTGGCGTGCGTATCTCTGCATGCACTAGTTGACCGGTCCTGACTCTGTCTACTTTGAGATCTGTTACGCTCTCTCCTTCGGTCTGGAGACGGATCACGGCGGGCACTTGTGCCACGTTCTGGACGGCGAGTCTGACTCGCTTGTCTAGATCGCACACGGTGTTTTCTATCCACGTTAACTAGTCGAAGGCCGTTCTCAATATCCTGGCCACTATTGTAGTCTCCAAGTGTGGGGGACATGGGAAGCGGGGAAGAAGGAGATCTCGGGCCAGATCCTTCTGTCCTTTGCGAACTTCTACCCCGTGTTTCAAGAGAGTATAACGGATCCGGGGTGTGGCGACGCGTGGTGACCTGACTAGACTTATCGCCTGCCAAAGAACTGGAACGATTGCGGAGTCGATGGCCACTCTTGGAGGTTGATCGTGTTCGAGATTTCGTACGTCTGCTGCTTCTGTGGCGGCGTCCTTGGTCCGTGTTCGATTTTGATTGATAATCGATGTTGTCAGTGCCTGTAGTATAGAGCGCTAAGTCATCTGGAGACATCGGGATGGGCGACGATGGCGACCTCTTCGCTGGCTGTATGTACCGCTGATTGCTTCGTCCGCGGGATTCTTTCGAGTGATTTCGTGATTTCTGCTTGCTACGAAGCTTGATATTCGAGTCGGTATCTGTGTTTCGCCGTTCGCGTCCGATTCTATGGTGGCCTGAACGGTAGCTAGCTTCGTCTAAGCTACTGATATATTGATCAATACTTCTGACACTGGCGTTCGCACTCCTTGTTGACCTTGCACTGCTAGTAGACATAGCTGAGGTATAAAAATTATCCGGTGTCGCTCCTCGATGCTGGTTTTGCGATATTGATCGACGTATAACGTCGTAGGACATTGAAGGCTCGGGTCCACTGGGTGGGAAATCATCCAACGGTGGCCATTGAATATGGAGACCCTCGGCCTTGCGATCGCCCTTCCGTTCACGCGACTTCGTTCTATTGTTGTGCTGTGCTTTCAGTGTTTCAAATATATCGTTCGGAGGCGAAAATGGACGACCTCCGTCAGATGCATCGTCACCGTGCAAAACTGCCGTTGTTGGAGTCTTCCTTGGGATTTCGGATACAGGCGTATACCTAGCAGATGATAATAGAATCGGTTCCGAGGTGTCCACAGATGGTCGCTGTGCGTTGGCCATCTCCGCATTACGAGCATCCCTCTCTTTATCCGATCCTGAGTCAACGGGTGTTGGCAAGCCCTTTGGAATATTAAAAGCCGGAGGATTTACATCAATTGGAGTTTCACCGATGGATGGGAGGCGATGTTTACCATAGCTGTTCGGTGTTCCCACGCGGCCCATTCGGCCTGTAGGTAATTTGTGTGAACCAAATCCTCCCGGTGAGGTAGGGTCTACCAGTGCGGAATCCGCAATTGGAGTTACCCCGGGGGCATTTGTTGGGGTCCGATCCGCAGAAGTAAGACCAGGGAATCTGAATTGGCCGCTAGGCTGCGGACTGAAAGAGGTGATGAGCTTCAGGGCAGGGCTTTTAAGAGTGCCGCGAGAAGGTGGACGGGGAGCATTGGCAGTAACGGAAGGCTCAGCATTTGTTGGTGTCGGGCCTCGAGATCTGGACAACTGATCTGATAAAATGGTGGTCATCTGGGCAGTCGGAGAAGCCCAGGCTTCGGATGTCTCCGCATCGGTACAAGCGAAGCACCGTATAGCTAGATGTTGTTGGGAGTTTTGAACGACGTGCTCACCCCATTTTCTGACTAGATACGATTGCCGCTGCCACTCAGAAGGCATTAACAAGCACGTCAAAAGAATAGCCTCCATATACATATTTCTGGATACGTAAACTTCGATGGCATCGTTGCAATCACCCATCCCGAGAAGAACTGCTGCCGATGCATGAATATCGCCTTTTGCCAGAAGTTTCTGGACCAGTGCTTGACCAAGATGTTTGCTATGGCCCTGATTTCCAAGCTGAGTTAATGCAAGCAACATCCAGTCGCTGTATTGGCTAGAGCCTGGTCCCATCATTGATAGTATAAGATTCGTGTCGATTTCTCCCAGCCAGCGGGCGAGGAGAATGGCATGTTGGCTTCCCGGGTTGTGACGGCGCACTACAAGAATAGGATAATTAGTAGGATAATGAATGACTATGTAACAGCCAAAATAGAATGGAACTCACACTCATCTCGAATCAACTCATCAATATCTCCGTCCCATCCGAAAACGACATGGAGCATCTGTTTCCTTAACTCATCCGGAGATAGGTTGCCATCGTTCTGAGGGCGAGGAGGTTGGAAGGGAACATTGTTCACACGGCTCCGGATATAAGGGAATAGTTCCGTGATTGGCTTGTCGAGGGAACTGGTATTACTGCTATTGCTACCATTCGGAACATACTCGTGGCGCAACCGTGAGGTACCGCGACCGTATGATCTTCTAGAGGACGTAGAAAGTGAAGATGCATAATTCAATGAGGTTACCGATCGCGATTCCGGTATTGAAGGGGCTGGTGAACCCATTGAAAAGGTAGTTCCGCTATTGTAAGATCTAGAACGGATCGACGTCGCGCCTCGGATACCGCGATTGTACGAGTTTGCGGAGCTGGTCGAGGTGGTCTGGCTTCCGGTGGACAGTGGACTCTTTAGCCCAGCCCGTTGCCGGGCGAGTTCTAGGGCATTCGGCTCAATGGGTCGGCCTGACGAAGCTGGGGATGGACTTCTCATTCTCTCAACAATGCTAGTCTGATATTGGGCAAGATTTCGTGTCGTAAGACCCGATTCAACCTTCTCGGGTTGCGTTTCAGCGGGTTGGCTGGTCAAAGCAGTAAGAGGGATGTGCTGAACATTGGCGACCATGGTAGGGTTCTCAAGGTCATATTGTTGAACAGTATGGTTCGGCCCCAATGTGAACAGAGTAGCTGTTGATCCATAGTTGGCCAAACCTCTCACACCTCGTACGGTTGGCACTTGTTCATAAGTAACGTGTTTTGTTCTCACATCCCACGCCCAGGTTTCCCTAAAACATAAGTGAGCCAATGAAAATGGCGAGGCAACGGTAGGGGAATACACAAACATACCCTTCAGCATATTGAACAATTCGCCCATTCTTAG